GGAGAATCGAATCGCACCGATAAACTTAAACTAAATTCTGTCACAACCTTGTGCTACTTCTAACAAAATATTCGATTGAACGAAATAATTTTGTAATTTTTTTCTTGTTTTTTTTTCTTGTTTTTATTTTTGTTCGACGATTTTTGTTCGATACGCGTGTTTTGTTTGATCATTGGTTAGCGAAATAGAAGAATATTTTGGAAAATGTTATCTTTCAATTTTTGTTCAATTATATGAAAACGAACTTTTTCGAAATATCCACTGAATCGGTGTAATCATTTATATGAAAGTATGTGTCCCAAAGATTTGTGTTTTATCGAAATGAAATATTCTTTAATTTTTATATAAAATGTTTTCTTTGTTTAATTATATATTTTTATTTTTAGCAATATATGGCATCGCGTGTACATACTTTTTTTTTTTTTTAATATTAACTATAAAGATCCGTAGTACGTAAAAATCTGATATGTAACAAAAATTACTTTTATACATTTTTTTTTTTTTTTTATTGAATTATTCTTTTCTTTCTTCTTCTTTTCTATAGAAATGAAATCCTATGAGGACGTTATAGGAAACCTTAGAAAAATGTATTTCGGAATTTCTTTTTCGAAACCATAAGACGAGTATATACCATGCAAAATAAAACATTTTTTTTCTAAAAATCATGTCAGTATAAAAATAAAAAGAAGAACAATGTTACGTGTCGTGTCACATATCAAATTTTTTCATGTAATCGTAAAATCATTTCAAGAACTAATCTAAATATTTTATTATTTTTATTATATTTGAATTTTATTGCTATTGCGCTAAAAAAAAAAAAACAACATAAAAAAAAATACCATAACGTTGCGTTTGTAATTTTGTTTTCTTCGTTTATATTTCGTTTAAATTTCCCCAACAAAAAAAAAAACAATCCTGCTCGTTGTTATTCAACAAAATTTTGTGTGTTTTTTTTTAATTCTTTTTGTTTTTGGTATACTTTATGTTTTATTATCTAACTCAATACAACTCAATTAAATGAACTTCAATAATAAAACTCGATATAGTTTATAACATCTTATCCCCCTAGGGGGATCTTTTCATCCCATCCGCGTAAATTCGTGTACATATTTTGAACAACGTTTCGTAAAACATTATAACGAGACTCGAGATTTCTTTTCAGTATATCTCCCACAGCAGAAAATAAAAAAAAAAACACACGCAATTATAAATAAAACGAATCCCATTCATCCTCCCTTGTTCTCTTTTTTAAATGCTCTGCGCGATTGAGAGGAAAATTCTTTTTTTCTCGTTTACGAATGGAAAAGCACGATGTACATTTAGACGTATACTTTGTTATATACCATTGGTTTTCTTTCGCTTGACAAAATCTGCGATATATTTTCTATTTCTATTCGTTCCTTCTTTTCAACAAAAAAAAAAACAAAAAAAAAATTAAAAAAACTCATGAAAATTGCATCAATAATCAATACGGTAATTCTTCTTATAGTTAATTTTATTCGTTATCTCTAATTTTTATTTCTTCCAATGAATGATACACAGTTGAAAAGTTTTAAACTCTTAACGTAGTAACAATTATTTGTTTGTTTTTTTTTTCGATTATATACTTGCTTTTATTTAAAAAATAAAAATATACGAATTCTTTTTTTTTTTTGTGTTTTTTATCGAGGATCAAGACTTTTCAACCCATTCTTGTACTCTTGATGCACGACATTTGTTTTATTCTCTTCTAATAAAATTCTATTTCACGCGCGTGCACGAAAAATATAATCTTAGTTATATTATTGTTTTAAATATACTTAACAAATGAAAGTGAAAAAGAAAGAGAGAGAGAGAGAGAAAGAGAGAGAGAGAGAGAGAGAGAGATGATATTTTACTATGTAATTTTCTTAAAAAAACTAAATATTAAAGTTCAACGTAACGCAGACATTTCTCATTTCTAAATTAAAAGTAAATCTTTCCTGTCGTATTTCAAAAATTCATGAAAATTTGCGCGACCAATTTTGTCCATTTAATTTAAGATCTTTCAAAACTTTTATATGATGCTAAAATTTACCTCGGTAAAAAAAAAAAAAAAAGAAATACATATTCCAAACGAAAAGAATAATTATCGTATAAATCTACGCGAACTTTGGTGGAAAGAAAAAATTAAATATATACAAAAAATAATCATCTACGCGTGATGATTGTAAACCTAATCGGACTTTGAATTATTTATCCGACGAATTATATCGATAAGTAAAAAAAAAAAAAAACTCATCTTAAAAATTGTACGCAACCCCTACACACTCTGTCTAAATTTCTCATCCAATTAAATTCTCGTATATATTTTTCTAATAATATATATATATATATTATATCTATAAATACATTATTTTTTTTTTTTAATTCTACTTCTCTGTCCAAGAAAGTTTGATCGATTTCGCGTAAATTCCATCGACGAATTAAAGAAAAAGAAAAAAAAAAAAACGGAAAATAAGAGAAAAAATGCAAAAGAAAAAAATTCACACTGTTATATCACATACACCGGAGCTTTTCCTTTTTCTTCTTTTTAAACGACAAGTTTCGTACACTTCTTTTGTTAATTTTAATGGTTTGTTTTTTTTTGTTTTTTTTTTTTTATTTTTTTTTTAAATCTTAATTCAAAAGAACCTGTCCTCGACGATGGACCACCGCGATGTGTCTCAATGAAACGGTATCTATAAACTGAAACTGAATCGAGCCATGCGACCGAAGAAGAAGCCGCCAAGTCGAATACGCTCGACTGCGTCCGGAAAGAGCCGAAAATCACCGAGATCTTTTCTACTAAAAAATAACTAGTTTAAATAATAATAATTAGTCACATTTATTTCACATTGTTTAATAATAATAATAATTTTTTTTTTTATCTTTCTATCGCGTATCAAACAAATAATAATAATTTTTGTTTTTCTTTTATTTTCCTACGCGTATCTCTCGCGTATTTTGATAATCTTTAGAAAGAAAACGAAACATATTATTCATTGTAGAAATTTATCGAATAATAAAAATATCTTCGATTTTCATATAAATCGTGGATGAAGAGTAAACGAGAAAAAACATATCGTATTTCACGAAAGAACATTTTTCAATTCTTTATCATGTTAACATGACCCTCTTACAATATATGCTCGTGACATACTATTAGATTTAATAGGAAGCTTCTTTTTCCCTTTAATTAAAATAAGCTACCCGAAACGTCTGTTATCCTGACAATTTAATCCACATAAACCTTATTTATTAACAAACAAAACCTTTATGTATGTTACTACGGTTGCGAAAGACAAGCATAGAGAAAATTTACGAAGTTAACTTACACGTGTATACTTAACTTATTTATTCGAACTTTATAAAACCTAATTTAGGGAGACAAATTATAAATAATGTTTAAATTAATCTAATGCAAAATAATAAAGCAAATTCTAGAAAAATTAAAATGAAAAAGAATTGCAAGTATCTAATTTAATCGATACTAAAGTAATGAATTATTTCGTTAGAATGAATTTTAATCAAATCTATCCCGAGGCTAATTATAAACACCGTTAAACTAATCAAATAAAAAATAAGAAAATAAATTAAAGGAAAATTGAAATGAAAGAATTGCGCGTGTAATTAAAAATACTTGATGCTAAATTATATAATTATTTCGTTGAAAGGAAGAATTTCGTACCCAAGGATTCTTTCGATATAATCGAATAAAAATCACGTGAAAAGTTGTAACTTATTTTAATAAATGAGTTACCTATTACAAGAACATGAACGATAATTTAATTGGTGTAGAAGCAACATCTAAATAATAGCAAATTGAGTATATGAGGAATTATGTGATAATTTTAACATCAATTTTAAGGTGACATAAAATATCTCGAAAACGGAGATAAAACATCAACCTGTTGTAGGTGTAATTTCGTGGTAATTATGAAAGAACACGCCTACTCGAAAAACCCTTTTCGAATTCTGACGAGTTTATATTTGGCTCGTGTTTAAACATGACAAATTAATGTTTAACTAACTTTATTTACGACCATCGTAAACAAGAGGAAGATATTTTGTTACGACTCACTTTAACAGCGTAAGAAAACTTTGCCTATAGTATTTGAATGTCTGTGATCTTTCTTCTATCTCAAACTTTATCATAAATATTTTCATAAGCTTGATCCCGTAGAGATCCATACAAATATATTTTTGCGTGAACTTGCATCTCTGTTTCAAATTAAATGTCGTTCGATGAATAATACGTATCATATGATAAAACGATTTAACTACGCCATCTTGTTTCATATTAATTTACAAATTTTGACTAAATCTTTTTTACCGACAGAGATTATTTCATATCTGCAATTATTAAATTAAACTTAAAATTCGCGTATATATATATATATATAAAAAAAAAAAAAAGAAAATGCATAATTTAATAAAATCATACGTCAATAGAAAAATTTGATAACTTTTATTGTGAGGATTAATTAATCAGGCATAATAGTCAAACTTAATTTATGTTAATACATAAATCAAGTTGACGAAATTCTATTGGATTGTCTAATGAAGATAAATTCTTAATTACATCAAATCCATCGAATTATCTTCCATTATACGTTGTCTTCATCGACGAAATCATAGTTATCTTCATTATTGTCTTTCAATGACAACAACACAATAATACAACAATAAAATTTGAAATAAAATCGGAGAATCACGAACGAAAGAAAAGTTTGGAATAAATGAGGAAAAGATAACCGATCGGAAACTGCTAGTGTCAAATGAAGATATCAATTAAATCGTTTTTAATTTTTGGAAATAATTAAGGAAATGTATAAATCGTGATAATACTTTGTAATAAATATTATTTTTGCTATTAGAAACGTGTTTAGAAAAAGTATAAATAAAATATTCTTAAGAAAGAGAAAAGATCGTATCGCCAAAGTCAAATAAAAGAGCGGGAATTTTCAAAAAGAAATGTTTTTTCAACAGATGGCGATTAGTCTCGCGGTTCTATTATATAGTGAAAAATGGCCGGCGTTAGCGACTGTTTCAGCATTGGAAGTACGGTTGCATGTAAAACTTGTTATAATAAGGAAATTGAAGGAGAGGTGCTGGCATTTGACCCACAAACAAAAATGCTAGTCTTGAGTATCCTTTTGAAAAATCATTTTTATATTCTATTAACTGATCGAATATCAACCGAGAGACGACTCTCGGTCTACTCTCTTCAATACTATCAGATAAGAGTGTAAATAACTCGAGATGTATTTGTATTAATAATTATCAAGTCATCCCTATTGATCTGCTAGAAAATAATCATTGTTAGGATCGTTCGCCGAAATTGTCATCCTTTATCATATATCTCGAGACATTATCAGAAAAAAGTCAGGTTAGTTTCGTCATCTCCAATTCAACCATGCTGATTTCTTGATTAATTTTTTTAATCTATTTCATAGTTTCTGATTATTCTAATACGAAATTCGATAAAACTTTTAACGCTCTTATTTGATATTCTTTCCAAATGATTATTATATTTCTTATTTTGTCTTCCTTTGTAATCGTTTTATTTCAAATATTCATATATTGATACTTGTATTTCTATACTTTATATTTTTTTCACCGTAATTATATTACTATATAAAGATACACGTTTATTTAAGCAGCGATATATACATTAAAAATCATTTTCATACAAATAATATTTTCTTAACCAGAATTATTAAAGAATGCCCGGCCTCGAATGGTAGAACTTCTTTGAATGATGTACACATAGTCAATTTATCTTTGGTATCCGATGTTCAAGTTAAAAGAGAAGTTAGTCCGACGACCAGCGAACCACCGCAAAGCCTTAATTTACAAATGCTTAACAGACGAGTACGCAATCAGATAGAAGAAAAAAAAAGGCTGGTAATGGCTCTGCAGGCCGGAGTATCTCCAGATGGACAAAAACTTTTTATCGCCATTTCAAAAACTATACAAGATGTAACGTGGAACGGTGCTAACATTGTTGTATTCGATAATGTTATCATTAGACCGCCATATAAAGTTGACAATGTGCATGGAAACGAAGATTCCAGTGCATATAAACATGTTAAGAAAGTTGTGAGTACAATTGAAAAGATTATTTAATTAATATAATATTAGAAATATATACATATATACATATATATGCGGCAAGTTAAAATCTTATCTTTTCTTTTAGGTCGAAAAACACATTAAAGATACTGCAGCATCTGCTCAGGTACAACAACGAGAACAACAACCACAAAAGGGTAGTATGATGCAATAAAGGCCTAATTAGGCATTATCACCAACCAAGGAAAAAAGCCCTGTGCTTTTGCAAAAGTTCCATTGTTCAAGAGTATAATAGGTGATAAAAGCAACGGATTGTTCAAAAGAAGGAACCATTGCAGATATTTAAAAAAAAAGCAAACTATACAACAAGAAAATAGAAACATCCATCATAGATATCAGAATCTTAAATTGAACTGAATCTATTTGTTTAAACATAAATAGAAAAAGGAATTCAACAAAAACTTTACAAAAAGCAATCTAAGTAACATTAATCATATTCGCATTAAATAACAGCATTTTATAACTCAGTGGAACGTATCATTCACACAATTATTCAGTCGCTCTAGATTTAGCTAAAGACAAATTGTTTATTTTATTCAACAAGCTGCCGTACTCTGATGATACTCTACTGGCACTATTTTTTATTATCGCATACTGATGTAAGTGTTTTTTTTTAGTTTACATCCTATTGTGTTTTGGACAAATTTAGTGAGTTTTGTTACTAAGTTATTAGAAAAAATTCATTTATATATATGCACATATGTATATATATAGTATTATTATAATTAAGTCCAAAATATAAAGATGAGTAAAAAAAGACTATAATCTTCCATGAACATACATCAGCATCAAGAAAGAAAGAAATATGATACGATTTCAATCCGTATGAAACGGTTCTCAAACTTCTTTATAAGAATATTGTTGAAATTTGAGAATAATTCTTTTTTAAAAATGCCAATACACGGTTTCATTACAAAATAACTTTCTTTTTGTAATGAACAATGTCATTTCTTTGGAACACAATTTTACATATTTTTAAGACGTTATAATAATAAGTGATTGTTTGTCATTTGAACGATTACGCGTGCGCTGCAGCTTATCGGATAAAAATTTCTAAATTATATTAGATAAATTATAGCAATCTTATCAAAAAAGAAAAGCAACAACTCACGAACAAACAAATATGGAACATAAAAATTTATATTAAAATAATGCTGCCAGGTGATATCAAACTGGCTGCACCGGCACGAGACGTTTTCAGTTATTAATTATTGTTGAGGACAATAGAAATAATTAAAATAATAATAATAATAATGAAATTACCCCTTGCGCAAGGCGAATCGTAAAGGAATGTGTAATTTAGAAAAGAGGAAGCCATTCGACTTATGCAAGGGTAAAGCGTAGTTGATCTTGTATTTTAAAAGAGTTGACATCGCTTGTCCAATCCATTAACAGAATTCGCCTCGTGCCCTTTACCATTCAAACTTTCTAAGAGGTAGAGAGCAAATGTGGAAGAAAATGTGTATGAAAGAGAGAAAGTGAATGGAATGGAAAAGAAAAAAGAAAAACTGATTATAAGAACAATTACAAAAAAAGACATAAATAAATGTAATATAAATTCGATAATTGGGCTGTCTTTACTTCTACCTAATATTTTAGATTTTTTTATCCTCCGTTCAGTAAAAAGAAAGTTAATTAATATCCATAAACGTACTGCATTTATTTCTGCCTAATATTTTAATTTTTCTAATCTTTAGAGTGCAATAAAGATCATTGATATCTGTGAAGATTCATGATAGCTACTATTCTATTTTTCTTTTCTTTTTCCTAGACTAAGAAGTACAACATTCTATTTATTTTTTTTATTTTCATTGTTTTTATTTATTCTATATCTTCTTCCGTTTCTTCGATTGTTTCGGTTGTACTATTTATAGATCGCATGTTCGTATTCATCCCGTGTGTAACACGTGCGATTCTAGCTGCAGCTTTAAATTTAATAGCTGCTCGTTGCTTTTCCATCTTCTTTTTCCACTATTAGAAGTAAACATAAAAATTTGTAAATAGTATTTAATTATATATAGTAAACAAAAAGTATAGGAAATAATTCTATAAAATTCCATACAAATTTATCTAAAAATTAAACAAATTTCATAATCATTTTGTTTATCGTAAAGAACATTTATATAAAATATTTTGACTAGTTAAATTTATGAAAAGAAACAAAATTTATATGGAATTTGAATGAATGTTCATTATCTAATATAATACATTTCCAATTCAAATTCCATACAAGTTAGGAGTTTCTTTATCAAAGTACGACCAGAGGTCGCTAAAATGAGCATGTCAACCATCTCGACGAATAATGAACGTCAAAGAGGGATGTCTTCTGGTAACTTTCTAGTTCTTTATTCCGTTTTTAATCTTTAAAGATACGTACTCGTAACAAAAACAAGCTGATGTTTTGAAATTAGCATGTGCTATTAATTTAGATTGAAGTCTTTACGACCAGAGGTCGCTAAAATGGGCATGTCAACCATCTTGACGAATAATGAACGTCAAAGAGGAATGTCTTCTGGTAACTTTCTAGTTCTTTATTCCGTTATTAATCTTGAAAGATACGTACTCGTAACAAAAACAAGCTGATGTTTTGAAATTAGCATGTGCTGTTAATTTAGATTGGAGTCTTTCAATATAAGAATTGTTAAGCTTACAAAGAACACAAAGAAAAAAAATGTAAGTAATGTTTTTCAATTGATCTGCTTTGTATTGTTTACTTTTTTCCCCTATTTCATTATTTGTTTCATAGGTTAAATAGTATTTTTGTATTATTTGTTGCATGTACACATTAAATTAATATTTAATCACATTATACAATAAATAATTCATTAAAATAATATGCACTTGTATTTCTATCAAATATTATTCTACTTACCTCCTCATCACGTGATGGTAAATTTGTCAGATATTTTTTCATTTCTAGCTTCTTAGGGTCTGCTATTGCTAACACCGATACACAACCATCCACCGTTCCTAATACAATACTCTTGCCATCATACGTACTATCAATAGCACTCAATTCAGCTTGTACTCTATAGTTCGCTATCATTTCACAATCTGATGATCTATAAATTAAAATCTGTGGTATATTTTGTTTTTTCATTTTCATCTTCTAATTTACTTAGATACATGATTACCTGAATACTCTTATAGTCTTGCGACCACTGTGGTAATAAAGGACATATTCATCAGTACGATTAAACATTGATATTACTGTAAATACTCCTTCTGCTACTTTAGGAATGTATGTTTTAACACTTGTTCCTTTCTTTAATTCTATCAGCTCTAAACCTCCTCTGTTGTAATAAGTAATTAAGATAATCTATATGTAAAGTCTGATAAATAAAATCTTTAATGAATTTTTAATAACGTTACCTGCTAGGAGCATACAGTGTGTATTTACCATCCTTACTAATATTTCCACTCCATTTTGGAATAACTCGAATAAATTTCTTCTTATTTATATCAAGAATAGCACCTTTGTCCGAGCCTATAATTCCTACCCAGTGACCTTTGTTTGGCATTGATGTAATACAAATTATATCCTATAAAAGTAATATTTTGAATATAACATACTATTGGAAAAGAATTTTAATTTATTAAAATATCCTACATACTTTGAATCCAGGTAATTTGACCGGTATTTTATTCACTAATATTCCAGTCTTCGCATTGTGAATGATAATGCAATCCCTGTTGCCTTTATCAGCTGCTGGTATTATTAAATGAGAATTGTCAGAAGTTATTTGAACTTGTCTAAAAGGTGTTCCTGTGTGACTTCGTACAGTATACTCAAATGAAAATATTGTTGTACCATCTGTAAATTATAGTGACATTAATTTTTTTTTTGTTTATAAATTTGACAGTTCTTTTTATACCTGGAATACTTCGTGCAATAAGGATGGCATTGGTTCTCATACTTTCTACTCCAGTTGGATTATTTGGCCTGGAAACTGTAAGAAATTTAGTAGAATTTTCTATTAATTTAAGTTGTTTAACATTTGCTTGTTCTCCTTTGAATAATACTTGTTCCGTTATTCTATTCCAAATTAATACATTTCCAGATTCTACCGATACAATGTATCTAAAACACACATACACATCGATAGATTTATAATAAATTTATACTTAATAGATTATATCTCTCTTCTTTATAATCTTTTATAAAGTTTTGTTAATTTCTTACTTTCCAGTATGCGTTATAGAAGCATGCGTTACAATTGCCCCTAAGGGACTATCGGCAAGTTTAGAAATTAATTTTCCTAATTGAAGATCCCAAATACCAACACAATCTCTTGTAACTGTAATTGCCAAGTTAGATTCCTGTGCCAAACTGATCATATCAATTTGTAATTCATGTCTATCTATGACATGTACTTGCTCAAATATGTTATTAATATTCCAAACTTTAACACTTCTATCAATACTTGAAGTCACCACGCTATTCCAATTTCCAACAGTTAAAGCTTCTAATTGTATAATTCTGGCAAAATGTGCATCCAATACTTTTAATAATTCACACGTTTCCAGGCTCCAGACATACAAATTTTTTCTACAAAAAGAAATCGTAAATCGATCCAATTTCCTTTTTACTTATAACAGAATTTTAAAACATACCTTACACCTGCAACCGCATAATTTTTTGTACTGCTAACCATGATAGAATTAGAGTGCATCATTCGTGTGCTAATATTTCGTACTCCGTTTGGTAACATTAGTACGTGTGCATCGCTTTTACTTTCTAAAAACCAAACAACAAATCCATTTCCTGTTGTTGCCAAGAGACATTCTTCTTCTTTATCCAATTTTAACTGTAAAAGATATTCTACATCGTCATTGTAGGCTCTTGGTATGTCTTCTTTTTCTTCCCAAAAAGCAGACGTTTCGTCTACCACATATTTTGTAATTTTATACACGTCCTTAGTCGTACACGCATATAAAGTGTTTTTTTGATTATTTATGACCATAGCGCTAAAAATTTCATTTAATTATGCTCTTTTTATTATATTAGCTCATTAAATATAAAACATTCGATAATTTCAATTACTTTCAGTTCTAAATTAGACATTTCAAAATAAATGTTTTAATATAAATTGAAAAATATATTTCTTTTATTTGTTTATTACCTATGAAAATGAAAGACTTCCAATGTATTCTTTTTTTTGTAAGTATGTAAAAGCATAATTGGATCTTCTATATTTCCTGACCAAAATACAATCCTGTATTCGTCCAAATTTGTATATTCTACATCTATAGAGATAAATAAACATTATTTTTAGATATTAATGTGTTTACATATTAAATATATTTAAAAATGATTTTTCTTATTTACGCAATATAGGCCATTTGTTAGAATCTTCAGGGTTGGTATAGTTTCCAAGTAAATTTCCACGCAAGTCAAATTTGTACCAGCCAATTTTACCATATATAAATGCGTGTTGATTAGTTAAATGCACTCCACATACGTGTTCTTCGTCAGGCAATGGATTATTAATAATAACAAATTCGCTTGTCAAAGTATTTAATACGACAGTCTATAAAAATATTCTATATAAAGAATAGAAAATAGTATATGTGCATGGTAGTAAGAATGAATGATACCTGATCATTAGTTGTAAAAGCAGCAGCATATCTATTGTCAGGACTTAATACTAATTGCTGCATTATTCCTTCTACGCCGGGACTAACATCTCTGGTCATATCACTTGTGCTAAGATCCCATGTTATAAATTTATTAGATATTGAAACAACATAACGGTAATCGGACGTTAAGCAAAATCCAAATACAGCAAATTGATGACCTTCGAGAGAATACTGTAAGCAAATATTTCATGATAATTCGATTTTGAATGTTATTTAATTTGTTATTGTATTACCTTTAATGGTCCACCAGGTGTATGTAAACAATGATAGAGCGGAAGCAAAGCACAATCCTTAACACCGTCGTTGTCACAAGCTTGCAATAACATTTTAACGTTAACATTTCCACCTATTTCTGGCAATAATCTACCAATTAATTGAGGTGCTAACATGTCTGGATGACTTCCTAGAATTGCTCCACCTAATCTCAATGCATCAGCTACTAGCATTAATTCCCTAAAAAAAAAATCATAAATAACTATATAAACATACATATTATAATAAGTTATTATTATTATTTAATTATAATTTACCTTACTAGATTCTGGTTGTCAATGAAAGTACATGCATCTTCAAAATCAGAAAGTACAGCTTGCAATGGGCAAGAACTTAATTTAGCATGTAGCCATTCGTAATTAAACAAAACATTTTCAAACAGATCCTTAAAACGGCGCGATCTGACCAAATGAAAGGGTAATTCTCCGAACTATAATCAAAAGAAAACATTAGTTATCTTTAGTTTCAGTAATTATTGTTCAATAACTACAATATACTTTTCGTAAATTATATCTGGAAATGGTTCCTTCTTTTGAATAGAATGCCAAAGGCTGTTCCGGTACTTTTCTGTCTGCTAGACCTTCTTTATCTGCCAGATTAAAACTAAATTCCCATTTATATCATCATTTAAATATTATTATATTTATGCAAAAATTAAAAATATAAAAATGTATTAAATGTTTACCGATGTCTTTGTATCTCTGTGAATTTAAAAGGTTTTGGTATACCACCACCCCAAATACCAAGATAATAATCAGCTATCATTGAATGAAAGTACATTGCCATGTTCATATTCTTAAAGTATCTCTCCCTAGCTGTATCTCTAAATTGTCTGTGATACCAATTAAGAACGCTGACACCATCGGCTTCTCTTTCGCTTAAATAATTGGGTAAATCATTTCGTATTCTTGTCCATAAAAGAGGTGGGATTCTTCTAACAGGTGGCAAATGATATTGATATACATCGTCAAGAACTTTATCATCCAATGAAATAAGATCTTCAAGTTCAGATTCAGATAATCCTGACTTAGCTGCTGTGATATAGGCTAAAGCATGAAATACTAATATTTTGCCATGTTGTTTTTCTATTCTTTCAAATAACATCATTATACTATCCATCACAGTATTAGCTAAATGAGTATCTGCTGGTTTAGTGTAACTACGCCACCTGCATATTTCAGCAAAGACCAATTTAACAAAAATTGGCAAAGAACATTTGGATATAGCATTTGCTACTAAACGCCACTGATAATTATTTAGATCTCTGTGCGCAGTTTTCATCCACATTCTGTGAAAACATTGATTGCTCATTAATTATTAATACTGTTCAAGTTTATTATTTGTATACCTTATAACGTCCATGGCTAAATCTTCTCCTAAAGCTGTAACTTCTATAAAATTTTCTTCTGTATCAATCATTCTACGTAACAATTGGTAATCTCGCGAAATTAGAGGATTGGATTCTTCAGCCGCACAAGATAGTATCATCTAAAAAAAAAAAAGAATTAAAAAAACATAATAACAAATAAATAAGTAAAGAATAGCACTTACTTTACAATGCAAAGGAAGCCTAGTAGGTAGCCACGATAATTTATTTCCTTGTATGCCTGTTAATTGATCCACACTGTCGAGAAATAACAAAATTGGTTGTTGTTCTGTAGCCAAAGTAAGCAAGTGTTTAAAATGTGCTGTAAGCGGTACAAGATCGTCTGGTATTTCCTCAAATGATAGCATAAAATTATATGAAATCTATAAGGAATAAAAAATTAGAGTCTCTTTCACATATTTGTATACGATGATAAAATATATTAGAAATGTTGTCATATTTACTTGTTGACAAATGGAAATAAGTGTTGGAGTCAATGCACTACTGTCTGGAGTTGTACCAAGAAATCTTATTATACTAATAGGCTTTTTATTTACAAGCCATACGGTGTTTGATAAACCTGCACTTTTTGCCAGTAAAGATGTTTTACCGCATCCACCTTCTCCATAAAGAACTAATGGTTTATCACTATCGCCTAACATATGATATTTAATATTCTCCAATATATCTTCGCGTCCATAAAATATCTGCACGATTGATATGATTAAACATTTCATTGCTTATCTTCATTAATATTATCCCAATACAAAAAATTACCTTAACAGAATTATTACAAGCATGCAAATGTTGTAAAATCTCTGTTATAATTTGTCCTTGAGCAGAGCTATCTTCTTTTCGCATAGCACGATCTACTAGTTTGATTATATTTCGATAGAAATGTGTTATAAAATGCTGAAGATACTCGCTGTGAGTTTCAGGATCCAAACCCTCTCTGCCGATCCATTCTACTGTATACCTGTATAATAAGATAAATAAGAATGTAAATTCATATTAGAACATTAATCGTGTTTTAGATGATATATGTACCTTTGCAAATTTGTACTTTCAATTTTGTCAGGTAATCTTTCGTCCCTAAGATTGGCTAATAATCTACAAGCTTCGTTATCTAAACTTCTATTAGCTATATCTATAAATAAACTTGCTTTCCTTAAGTTTTGGAGATTTATATTATTTATGTATCGTACATAAGCCAAACAATGATTCTTTGTATTTTTCACGTTTAAAACTCCATTGATTACTTCTCTTTCGGTGACTAGTAAAAAATTATTATGCTCGCGTTAATATTTAATTCTTTTATCTATAATTATTATAAAATAAAATTTTGTTTATTTATTTTTACCGGACATGAAATAATTGTGCATTGTATCTTTATCAAATTTTCCTGAATTAAATAAAGATTGTGCTCCTTTTCTGAAGATTTTTTGCATTTTCACCATAGTATCCCACCAAATGGCTTGATCTTCTTGTTGTAGTTTTGGTATTCTCTAAATATTCAAATAGAATACAAAAGTAGCTTAAAGTATTCATTAAAATGCCAAAATTTGTTATAAGAAAAAAATTAAGTGGATACTTTGTTATTAAAGTTTTTTAAAATCGATGAAATAGGTTGTAAAATACTCGTTGGTGGTACAGCATTACTATCCTTTTTATACCACTGATCAAGGACAGAAACATCTACTCCTTGATTATCCAATTCTGTTTTGATCATTTCCAATTCTGAACTGAGTATGTAAGTTGGTATAGGACGATATCCATATTTTTGACCTAAAAATACCTGAATAGATAAAAATTAATAAAAAATATTAGCTTTGATTGTACAGTATAATATTAATTGTATATAACATTTTACCACGAAGTTTGGTCCCATAGATAATCTTTGACAATTTTCTATTTCTCTCATGCAGAGTTCAGTAGTCATGTGATCATCTGTGGCTTCATCACGTACACCCCAACGCATATCCACTACCTAACGTAAAAGGATAATTGAGTATTCAGTAAGAAAGAGTTTTATTACATAATTAATTATTTTCTATAATTAAGTAATTTAAATACTTTATAAAATAATTTATCATTCTTTTTTTTTTTTTTTTTACAGCTTGCTAGATAAAATTATTCAAATGTTATAGATATACAAGATGTCCTAGTTTTGTTACCAGCATATTCTATAAGCAAAAGTAGTTAAAAAATGTTATATATCATTTCTTATTTTTACTTATAGTATATACGGGAAAAATTTTGTAGAAAAAAACTGGAACGCCCTGTATAGAAATACTCTACGTATTTGTGGTACCTGGTACAATGAAAATCAATTTCTCTATAAATATCTATAGACAAGTTTCTATATCGTATAATATTGTATCATCTTGTGTAATATTATTTTATATAGTTAAATGACTCAATTAATTAATACTTTACTTGAAATTCTAATCCATGTTTTTCTCTGCAATAATCCTTTATTTTAGGATAACATTGAGCCATTAATGTATTCCTTTCCATTGTTGTATCTGAAATATATCAGATGTTAGTATCCAATACATGTATAATAATAATAATAATATCTACGCGTATATTATAGTATTATATTTTAATGAATAAAAACTTACCAGTGAATGTAGAACTTGTAAATATTCTTACTATTTTTGAGCTCACAGCAGGTAATGATTTTAAAGATCCTGCGAAGATTGAATCTATGGTTGTTTCATCCATTTTTTATATATTTTACTTGTAATTCTTTTTTATTATTATTATTATTATTAAAACCTTGTAATTTATAATTTTTATATAAATGTTGTTGAAATTAAAATTATATATGGCTTACTATATATTATAACTTGTAATAATTCAAACAAAAATAAATATTTTCTTTCTACTGTACATTTACTGCATAACAGAATGAGTTGTCTAAGATACTAACATAAGTAACAGAAGTATATCTAAATGCATTCTCAAGTGTACTAGTTATGGTTGCTAAGGTTTATTTACCAATACTTCTAGCACATCCATCTAACTATATATATACATATTTTCTCACACACAAATTTCAATTATTATTTTAAATGAGACATATTTTTAAGTTTTTATTTCATATGTTTAACAGGTGTTTTATTTAATGGATCATCTTTAATAGCAATTTAATTTCGAAGCAAATATGGCACCACCAGATCTTGTAACGCAAATGAATACCTATCGGTCATACGTGACCATGTTGGCAGATCCTAATTCTAAAGATGAATCAAAATTAAAGGGTGTACAAGAATTATCTGAAAATTTTGAGGTATTGATATATATTGCTTTTATATATTAATATTATAATACTATTATTAATTGTAATATCATTATATTTTTATTTAGGTCATCATGTGTTCTTCGCAATACCCAGCATTTTTGGATCACATGATGAAAATATTTTTGAAAATATTACAGGAAGGAGAGCCTCATTTTATATCAGAATATAATATACAACAAGTTCGTAAACTTATTCTCGAAATGATTCACAGGCTTCCAAGTAATGAATATCTCCGATCATACGTTAAACAAATTTTAAGCCTTATGTCTAAATTATTAGAAACAGATAACGAAGAAAACGTATTAGTATGTTTGAGGATTATTATTGAGCTTCACAAACAATATAAACCAACGTTTAATCCTGAAGTAATAAATCCTTATCTTTTTATCATCATACATATTACATCATACTCTTATTTTTATATTAATTTATAAATACTTTTATTCATAGATACAATATTTTCTGCAATTTGTAAAATCGGTTTATAGCGAGTTACCAAATAATTTGTCAAATATATTCGAGCCACGTCCACCGCTCATTGTAAAGGATTTATCTGAAGTAAATATAGAAGTTCTTTTAAAAGAGACATTCACTATTACAGCTATACAAATTGAAAAAAAAGCAGCTGATGATACAGTTGTTACTGTAAGTAAATATGAATTATTTAAAATAAAATAAATAGAATAAAATAATATAAATATAATAATGCATATGTGTGTTTTCATCTTTTATAGTATAATCTCATTCCAAAGGCGGTATTATCTCTCAAAGTACTACAGGAACTGCCTATTATAGTTGTGCTTATGAATCAGTTGTATAAGCAAAATGTTCATCAGGATGTATCTGATTTTATACCACTTGTAATAACTACCATCACGTTACAACCTAGTCTTCAGCATCGTGCATCTTCTGGATTTAACAAAGAAGTATTTGTTGATTTTATGGGAGCTCAAATAAAGACGTTGTCTTTCTTGGCATATGTTATTCGAGTTTATCAAGATGTTGTATCACAACATAGTACGGTATTAGTGAAAGGTATACTGGGTTTGTTCATGCTCTGTCCTATAGAAGTTGCCCACTTGCGAAAGGAATTGGTGATCGCATCTAGGCATATACTTGCCACAGATTTACGTAATAAATTTATACCACACATGGAATGTTTCTTTGATGAAGACGTATTTATTGGTCGTGGATGGACAACGCGAGAATCTCTTAGACCATTGGCATATTCAACTCTTGCTGATTTAGTGCATCATGTCAGATTATTACTGCCATTGAATGATGTTTCAAGAGCTGTCCATTTGTATAGCAAAAATTTGCTCGATCAAAGTCTTCCAACAGCAGTTCAAATGGTATCTTGTAAATTACTGATGAATCTAGTAGACACTGTCAGACAGAGATCAGACGCTGAAAATAGTTCCCAAGGAAGAGAATTATTAATGCGTATACTTTTGGTATTTGTTTTCAAATTTAAGACAATTGCTAAAATATATTTACCAATTTTACGTACCAAAGTTAAACAACTACCACCAGTTGGATTAGATATCAAGACAGAAGAAGCAAAACCAGTTATACCAGATTTAACAGAAGAAAAAGAAACTGGAAAATCAAAATTTGGATTCCCTATCTCTCATGCTATGAGTTTTAATGTAGCCGATTACAGAAACTTAGTGAAGAGTTTAGTACACGGTGCCAAGGCTATTACATCTAATTGCATAAATAGTAAATCAAGCGAAGTAATACAGCCTAATCAATTCCAACCAAAGGAGACATTAATTTATATAAAATTAGTTAAATGGGCATTACCTGCATTAGATATTTATACATTAACTCCTCCTAATGCTGGAGTTGTAACTCAACCTGGTAGACCAGCGCAATCGCAAATAAGAACAAGAGAAGAAAAAGAAGTTTTGGAATTATTTGGCAATGTATTTACTCAAATGAGCCCACAGACATTTCAAGAAATATTTTCTACGTCTATAGATTACATGGTGGAAAGAATTTTTAAAAACTGCACATTACAAATAATTGGAAGTGCTTTTCTCTCCAGTCCAACAATATCATCAACGTTTGCTACAATATTAGTTGAATATTTGTTAGAAAGAATGAGTGATATGGGATCGAATGTAGAAAGAAGCAATTTATATTTAAGATTATTTAAACTTGTTTTTGGTAGTGTATCACTTTTTCCAGCCGAAAATGAACATATGCTACGCCCTCACCTGAATCAAATTGTTAACAGGGCTATAGAATTAGCTATGACGGCTAAGGAACCTTATAACTATTTTTTGCTTTTGCGTGCTCTATTTAGATCGATTGGCGGGGGATCTCACGATCTTTTGTATCAAGAATTTTTACCTTTACTTCCTAATATGTTGGAAGGATTAAATAGATTGCAATCTGGTTTACATAGGCAGCATATGAAAGATCTCTTCGTTGAATTATGTTTGACAGTGCCAGTAAGATTAAGTTCGCTTTTACCATATCTCCCAATGTTGATGGATCCTCTCGTTTCTGCGCTTAATGGAAGCTACTGTTTAGTTAGCCAAGGCTTAAGAACTCTCGAACTTTGCGTTGATAATTTACAACCAGACTTTTTGTATGAACACATACAACCGGTACGTGCAGATCTGATGCAAGCTTTATGGAGAACTTTACTTAATTCTACCGATCAAGCGCACGTAGCACTCAGAGTATTAGGCAAATTTGGTGGAGGAAATCGTAAAATGATGAATGAGCCTCAAAAATTAGAGTACAATGATCGTGAAACTGATTCACCCGCTTTAGTTGTCTATTTCCAAGATCCATATAAGGCAATTCATTTTTCTGTTGAAAAAATAATTGATACAGCATTTAATGCACTTAAATCGAATACAACAGGTACATTTTACCGCAAACAATGTTGGGAAGTTATTGCTTGTTATTTAGCAGCATCTTTAAAATTGGATGACAATAATGCTATATTACAAAGGTTGTTTATGCACCCCAGCTTTAAAGAAGGCAAGATTCCACATCAACAAGGACCTCATTATAAATGTCCTGATTTAGTTGCAAGAAATGTTCAGCAAACTGCTTTAACTGGCTTATTTGTTGCTGCTGAAATCAAAGAACTTCGCAATTTAGTTCTTGGAACTGTGGTATCCATTGTTAGACACTATACAATGGTTGCAATTGCACAGCAAGCTGGACCATTTTGTTTAACTGGAAAACAAATAGATATGCAAGGACAAGATCCCTTAGTATTAATAGATGCCCTTGTTGTAATAATGGGCCACGAAGAAAAAGACCTTTACAAGCCTGGTCATTTGGCATTAGTGTTAATATTGGAAACAGCAACCAATATTTTAGGTTCTAAAGAAAGAGCTTGTCAATTGCCATTGATGGAATATTTGGCTGAAAGAATGTGTTCATTGTGTTACGAACGTGCCTGGTATGCTAAATTGGGTGGTTGTATAGCCATCAAATTTCTTTTCGAACGAATGGCAACAAAATGGGTATTAAACCATCTTTTTGTTTTTCTAAAGGCATTAATGTTCGTAATGATGGATTTAACGGAAGAAGTGTCCAATGGTGCTATCGACATGGCCAAAGCTAACTTAGAAAAAATGCTAAGAGTTGGTGTCAATCCTGGTATTCAAGATGGAAATAAAGAATTGATAGAAGTCCAGAATAAAAGTTTATACGAAGTTACTCACGAGTTGGTCAGACAAGTTACTTCACCACATACATTGGTACGAGAACAGGCAATGGCTTCATTAAGATTACTTGCTGAGATACAAGATCAAACGATCACAGATGTTATGGAACCACATAAAGAAGTTTTGGCAGACATGATTCCGCCAAAGAAGCATTTATTACGACATCAGCCTGCTAATGCACAAATAGGTTTAATGGATGGCAATACCTTTTGTACTACTTTAGATCCTCGTTTATTTACTATCGATCTTAGCGTCATGGAACATAAAGTATTTTTTCAAGAACTCTTAGCTCTCAGCGAAGCGGAAGATGCGAGTTTGAACAAGTTGCCTTGCTACAAAGCTGTAGCAAATCTTATTCCTCTTAGAAAATCAGCACTCAAAGCATTGTCAGCTTGTCATTACATCGTAGGATGCAGAGAAAAAATCTTTGGTGTACTTTACAAAGCTATGGAAAAACCTAATGTAGAACTGCAAGAAGCTGCATTCGAATGCATGAAGAAATTTATAGCAGGTTTCCAAATTGAAATGGAATCTGTTCATCTTATCATAAGACCAATGCTCTTGACATTGGGAGATCATAGAAATTTAACTATGAATTGCGTTAAACGACTGTCATACTTGACGCAATTGTTTCCTAGCACCTTCAGTATTACACTGTGCGAACAATTATTGCAGCATTTGAAAAAATTATTAGAACACTTGATTCAAGCACAAAAAGGTATATCGAAATCTGAAGAGAATGAACAAAAAATTGCTGTTATTATTGGAATTTTTCGTGAGATTCCAACAGCTACACCTAAATTTATAGATGTATTATGCAGGCTTATTTTGCAGACAGAAAAATCATTGACTGTAGAGGTGTCCAGTCCTTTCCGTATACCTTTAATGCAATTTTTATTACGATATCCAACAGACACACTTAATTTATTTTTACACGACAACAACATAAAGGATCAACAATGGAGCAGATACTTAGAATTTCTTATTAAACATAAAGAAGGAAAACCATTCCGTGATGCGCTGCATAACAGTACAGCAAGATTGATTACTATGCTTCATGCATTCAATCAAACAAATTCAAGTTTGTTACCTAGTGAAAAAAGTGAACTTCAACATCAAGCAATCAAAATTATTTCCGTATTGATTAAGTATGACGAGCAATGGTTATCCACTCAAACTCAATTGGTGAGTGCCTTGAAACAAATCTGGTGTAATGACGAATATCAAGCATTACATAAAAAAGTAGAAAGCGTTGATTATTGCCATTGGAAAGAGCCAAAGCTTATAGTCAAGATCTTGTTACATTATTTCCGTCATCATCCCAACGATATAGATTTACTTTTTAATTTACTGAGAGCAACGTGCGATAGATTTATACCAGATTTTCAATTTCTTAGAGATTTTTTGGAGCATACAGTGGCACAAGAATATACTGTAGAATGGAAACGCAGTGCCTTCTTTAGATTTGTTGATCATTTTCCGACAAATAGTTTATCACAAGAGCTCAAAGCTAATGTTCTTCAATTAATTATTATTCCATGCTTTGCTGTAAGTTTTGAAAGGGGAGAAGGTACAAAATTAGTGGGAACTGCACCTATGCCTTATCAGGATAATCCAGAAAATGTGGTATCCGTTTTTATCAGTAAAATTATTGATCCAGACAATCCGTTTGGTACTGCAGATTGTGTACGAATATTTTTACTGCAATTTTCATGTTTGTTAGTGGAGCAAGCTTCGCAGCATATACACGATGTAACTAATAAAAGACAAGGCATCAAATTACGCCGTTTGATGACTTTTGCTTGGCCTTGTTTATTAGGCAAAAATTGCGTAGATCCTACGACAAGATACCATGGACATTTACTCTTAAGTCATATCATTGCCAAATTTGCCATTCATAAAAGAATAGTTCTTCAAGTATTTCATAGTTTATTAAAGGCACATGCGTTGGATGCGAGAAGCGTTGTAAGACAAGCATTAGAAATTTTAACACCAGCAATGCCGGTTAGAATGGAAGATGGTAATACAATGTTAACGCATTGGACGAAAAAAATCATTGTGGAAGAAGGCCATTCAATGCAACAACTTTTTCATATTTTGCAATTGGTTGTAAGACATTATAAAGTTTATTATCCCGTAAGATATCACCTAGTACAGCACATAGTAAATTCAATACAAAGATTGGGATTCAGTCCTACTGCTACAATAGAACATAGAAGATTAGCTGTAGAATTAGCAGAAGTAATCATAAAATGGGAACTGCACAGAATAAAAGATGAGGCTGAAATAGAATCTGATGGTTCTAGAACAGGAACAAGTGGAGTAAAACGTCCAATATCAGAAGATTCAATGGGTATGAAACGTATGTCTGTTCAATCTACATCCGGCAACTCTGCAGTACCAGTTTTGTTACCAAGAACAGAACCAGGATCTACTAAACCAATTGAAAGAGCACACGCTGATGCAATTCTTAATTTCTTATTACGTTTAGCATGTCAAGTAAATGATGTGACAACACTCCATGGCAATCCTGGTGAACAATTATCAAGACGATGTGTTGCATTATTAAGAATGGCATTAAAACCAGATGTGTGGCCACAATGTGGTGATTTGAAATTAGCATGGCTTGATAAAGTACTTGCTAGTGTAGATAATCCACAACCAAATTATGGTAATATATGCACAGCTTTGGAAGTTTTGACATTTCTATTGAGCGTCATGAAAAGAGAACAAATTCTTGCAAGTTTCAAACCCTTACAACGTGGTATAAGCGTTTGCATTTCAAGCAGTAATACTAAAGTTATAAGATTAGTTCATGCTTTATTATCGCGATTAATTACTATATTCCCAGCAGAACCTACTTCATCTACAGTCACCTCCAAATACGAAGAGTTGGATACATTATATACCGCGATAGGTAAATTTATCGTTGATGGATTGACAAGTTACGAAAAAAATACTACAGCCACTCCTACCACATTATTTGGAACGCTGATGATGTTGAAAGCTGCTTGCACAAATAATCAAAGCTACATTGATAGACTGATAACACCATTTATGAGAGTTTTACATAGAATGGCTAAAGACCACTTACACTCCACGCAAGCAGAGACTAATCCAGTTGGCAGTGAATTATTGATTTTAAGTTTGGATCTTGTTAAAAATCGTATTGTTGTAATGGGCGTGGATATGCGAAAAACATTTATAGGATCTATTCTCGTAGGTCTTATAGAAAAAACTCAAGATATCAAAGTAATGAAGGCTATTACTAAGATGATTGAAGAATGGATGAAAAACAAGAGCCCAATAGCTATGAATCAAACGCCAAGTTTAAGAGAGAAATCTATTCTATTAGTTAAAATGATGCAGTATGTTGAAAAACGTTTTCCCGATGATTTGGAACTAAACAGACAATTTTTGGAATTAGTCAATTACATATATAGAGACGAAGCACTTAAAGGTTCAGAGCTGACAACAAAATTGGAACCTGCTTTTCTTGCTGGTCTGCGATGTATTCAACCAGCTATTCGAGCCAAATTCTTTGAAGTATTTGATGGATCAATGAGAAGACGACTTCATGATAGACTTTTATACATTATCTCTAGTCAAAGTTGGGATGCAATAGGTCAACATTATTGGATCAAACAATGCATCGAATTGCTTCTTGTTACTGCTAATTCTACTACCCAAATACAAATGAGCAATCAAGATATATTATTGCCTAGTATTACGTCTATAATAAGTATGGCAGATAGTGAAGAGCATACAAATTTTATTGCATATCCTATCATAAAAGAAGAACCTGAAGATAATAATGAATCAAATGATACAAAAGAAGATCTTCTTAATCTGGATCTCTCTAATTCTGATTCAACAATAGTTCCAGAAGAAATTATAACTACTGGAAAAACTAGCTTGACCCAATTAATTGAAAAACAGGCTGAATTTATAGAAAACACTAAGAAAACTAGGACAGAACTATTATTATTAGCAGCGATACAGCTTTGTCATATGGACACAAACTTGGCAGAACACGTATGGCTGGATACTTTCCCAAAATTATGGAGTATTTTAGATGAAAATCAACATAATAGTTTAATTGCAGAAGTCGTACCATTTGTTTGTAGTGGTGCTCATATAATACAAAAGGACTGTCATCCCAGTGCAATAGCAACTTTTGTTGAATCATTGGCTCATTGTCAACCACCTGTACCGATGCGACCCGCATTGATGAAGTACTTAGGTAGATCGCATAATCTTTGGCATAGAATGACATTGCTCTTGGAACAAATGGCATTTGACAATGGATATAATCAATTTAAAACTAAAAGAGAACCTGATTGTTATGACGCTGAACCAGATAACAGTCCACACGCTGAAGTTCTCGATTCATTATCCGATATGTATTCCTTATTATGTGAAGAAGACATGTGGTCGGGTCTTTGGCAAAAGCATGCGCATTATAAGGAAACCATTCAAGCAACTGCCTTAGAGCAACAAGGATTCTTTGAACAAGCACAAGCAGCATATGATTCTGCAATGACTAAATTTAAGCAAGATTACGTTTCAACGCCAGCGCCGTTCAAAATACAACGTGAAGCTATTCTTTGGGAACAACATTGGATAAGATGTGCAAAAGAATTGAATCAATGGGACTTGTTATTAGAATACGGAAACAAGAAAGCTGAGAAAAATCCATTTCTTATTTTGGAAAGTTCTTGGCGTATTCCTAATTGGCCATTAATGAAGGAAGCTCTTGCTCAAGTAGAACATAATTGTCCTAAAGAGATGGCTTGGAAAGTTAATCTATATCGTGGATTTCTAACAATATGTCATACCGAGGATCAACATTTAAGTGCCGTTGAAAGATATGTAGAGTTAGCCTCAGGTCTTTGCATGCGAGAATGGCGAAGATTACCTCATATCGTAAGTCATGTTCATTTACCGTTACTTCAAGCAGCTCAACAAATAATGGAACTTCAAGAAGCTATGCAAATACATCAGGGTCTTTTACATGGAAGAAGTACATCATTGCACGATATGAAAGCTATTGTTAAAACATGGCGCAATCGATTACCAGTAATAGCTGATGATCTTAGCCATTGGTCAGACATTTTTACATGGCGACAACATCATTATACATTCATCTCTAATCACTATGACTCGCAACAAGATCAGACAACGAACCATTCAATGTTAGGAGTTCATGCTTCTGTCCAAGCCATAATACACTTCGGAAAAATAGCTAGAAAGCATAATTTATGTGGCGTCTGTTTGGATTCACTCTCAAGAATATATACGATACCTAGTGTGCCTATAGTTGATTGTTTCCAAAAAATCAGACAACAAGTCAAATGTTACCTCCAAATGGCTTCAGTTTCTGGAAAGAATGAACTTCAAGAAGGTTTAGAAGTCATCGAATCAACTAATTTGAGATATTTCACTAAAGAGATGACTGCTGAATTTTATGCTTTAAAAGGAATGTTATTATCACAAATCGGTAGATCGGAAGATGCTAATAAAGCCTTCTCCGCAGCTGTTCAATTACATGATACTTTGGTAAAAGCTTGGGCACTTTGGGGTGATTATTTGGAACATATATTTACACATGATGCTCGCCAAATATCTATTGGTATTTCAGCCATTACTTGTTTCTTACATGCCTGCAGACATCAAAATGAATCGAAATCTAGGAAATATCTTGCTAAAGTATTATGGTTGCTTACATACGATGATGATAAATCTTCTCTCATGGAAGCTGTTGATAAATATGCAGTAGGAGTGCCACCGATACAATGGCTACCATGGATACCACAATTACTGATGTGTCTTGTTCGACACGATGGCAATGTGATTTTGAATTTGTTGAGTCAAGTTGGAAGAATGTTTCCACAAGCAGTATACTTTTCTATCAGAACTCTATATCTTACATTGAAGATTGAACAGCGTGAGAGATATAAAAGTGCTGAATTAGCTGGGAAGATGCATGACAGAGCAGAAGGTAGAAATACAACTGGAAATGTACAGCAACAAGGAATAACTGAAAATGTACCAATTAGAGCTACACCGCCCATGTGGAGATGTTCTAAGATCATGCACTTACAACGAGATATTCATCCAACTATTTTGTCGAGTTTAGAAGGCATAGTGGATCAGGTTGGTGAGAATACTTTACTTAAAAAATATGTTAACTATTATATTATTATAATATTAATGTTGAATTCAGATGGTTTGGTTCCGAGAAACATGGTATGAAGAAGTACTCAGACAATTAAAACAAGGTCTTGCCAAATGTTATGCAATAGCATTTGAGAGTCGTGGAGCTGTTAGTAATGCTACTATAACTCCACATACTTTGAATTTTGTAAAGAAGCTTGTTTCTACTTTTGGTATTGGTATCGGTTAGTATCTTTACAAAGATTAACAATACATAAGAGAAGAAAGAAACTGTTTTAATCAAATTTAAATTAATTATAGAAAACATATCTTCTTCTCAAAACGTCAACAACACATTTGGTTCTGCCGCTTCAGAATCCTTGGCACGTAGAGCACAAGCGACTGTTCAGGATCCTGTTTTTCAAAAAATGAAGGGTCAGTTTACCAGTGATTTTGACTTTACTGTACCTGGTGCACAACTGTTACACAATTTAATATGTAAATTGAAGAAATGGATCAAAATTCTGGAAGGAAAAACTAAACAATTACCAAAGTAAGTTTACACTGCCTATGACCTAAAAATAATAATTTAAGTAAGTATTAAACAAAATGTTGAAAAATTTAAACAATGATGTTAATACATCCAGTACTTCCAGGTCATTTTTAATTGAAGAAAAATGTAGATTTTTAAGCAACTTTAGTCTTAAAACTGCTGAAGTTGAATTACCTGGAGAATTTTTATTACCTAAGGTAAGAAAATTAAAGTATTTATCGACATATTCAATTGATCATAATATTTTAATTAATAAAATCATTGTACTCTTTCAGCATTCTCATTATTACGTAAGAATAGCTAGATTTATGCCACGAGTTGAAGTTGTTCAACGGCATAATACTGCTGCTAGAAGATTACGTATACGTGGTCACAATGGTCGTCTTTATCCTTATTTAGTGGTCAATGATGCAGGCTTAGGAGATGCACGAAGAGAAGAACGTGTTCTACAATTATTAAGAATGTTAAATCATTATTTGGCAAAACAGAAAGAAACTTCGAGGAGATTCTTGCATTTCACTGTACCACGTGTCGTAGCAGTTTCTCCGCAAATGCGATTGGTCGAAGATAATCCTGCATCAATTTCTTTGCTGGATATTTATAAACAAGGATGTGTCAAATTAAATATAGAGCATGATGCTCCTATAGCGAATTATTACGATAAATTAGCATCTGTACAAGCAAAAGGTACCCAAGCAAGTCATCAAGTTTTACGAGAAATATTGAGAGACGTACAAGTAGGTATGGTTCCAAGAACTATGCTTAAAGATTGGGCAATAAAAACATTTCCTGGTGCAACTGATTATTGGACGTTTAGAAAAATGGTAAGTGTTTTTCTCTATCATAAATTCGAAATTAAAACACGTATAATAACTATGATTATTAATTAACTTTGTTTTTTACTTTTTTATAGTTTACGTTACAATTATCTTTGGCATGTTTTGCCGAATATGTACTTCATTTGACGAGATTGAATCCAGACATGATGTACGTACATCAAGATTCTGGTCTCATTAATATAGCGTATTTTAAGTTTGATGTTGATGACACTTTCGGTGAATTAGATGCTAACAGACCAGTTCCATTCCGTTTAACGCCTAATATTTTGGAATTTCTTACGAGTACAGGTAAATAAAAAAGCACTTATTGAAATAAATTTCTTCAAAATTTATATATAATGTATATAATGTTTCTTTCTTAGGTGTTTCTGGACCATTAACAGCAAGCGCTATAGCTACAGCAAGGTGTTTGGTTCAACCATCCTTTAAAGTGCACACAATTCTACGTGCCATTTTACGAGATGAAGTTATAGCCGATCATAATAAAAAACAAGAAGATGCTGAAAACGCATCGCAGACACCAACGGATATGAAAGGCGAATTATTAATAACGATGGTTACACGTGCAGTTAATGCGATTGTAACAAGACTAAATTCCTTAGCTAATTTTGATGGAACTGACAGTAAAGTCAGCACGTTGGTCGCTGCTGCTAACAGTCATGATAATTTGTGTAGAATGGATCCATCTTGGCATCCATGGTTATAAATTCAAACTGTGATGTACAAAATATGAAGTACTAAAACAATATAAATTTCAAACATATTTCCATAATTTCATAGACATACGCGCGCGCGCGCGCGCGCATACACATACACATATATATATATGTACGTATTGATTAATTGAATTTTATATTCGCATCGCGTCCATTTATCATTTAAAACATCGATGATAGTAACTACTAAAAAGACAAAAGATTTCTGGTGTATAAAAATATTATTATAAGAATTATCTCTATCATATTCTTGGAAATATTGTATGGAGAACACATATTATGCAAAACTAAATATTCTGTACATTTACAAGTAGTCTACAATTTCAGTTCTATTTTTTTTTCTTTTTTAAATTCGTTATAATACACATCCGTGTACAATAAAAATCTATGAAGATTTCTCTGTGTATAATCAGCTGTAAATAATTTAAATAATTACTATTATTATTTTGTAGTAAAAATAAAACTAAACGAAAATAAACTATTATAAATATTTATAAATATGTATCTATATTAATTATTTTTTAATATAAGAATAAGTTATATTGATTATTTTCTTTGCCTAAAAAGAAAATAGAGATTATTAATATTGATCTTATAATAAACGTTTTATGTAATAACACCTACTCTACATAATATTGTAAAATGTATAATTAATATTTACTTTTTCAATAATTTTTACGATATAAGTATATTACATTGGTCGCGTAGGACATGTAAACACACACATTAAATTATTTTAAATATATATTTAAAAATAATTACCTGTACACCATATTTTTAATGACATTACGCCTAATTTGTATTTTACACGTTTTCGGTATGAATAATTTGAATAATGAATAAATACTTCATTTTAAAAAGGAAGAAAAACAAACCTATAAGAATTTTAATCAAAAGATAAAAAATATCTATTTAGCGGGCTTAAGATTAATATTTCGTAGCATACACAAATCTCGTGCAGTTGCTTTGCGACCTACTACAGTTTGTATATCATAAAATCTAAGTAATATGTCAGTTGAAAATGATTCGGGTAATGCTTTTAGAAGGCACGGTACCTAAAAGTAAAAAAATATAATTTTTAAAACGTTGTTAAATTATTTTTCTAATAATATTTTTGAAAAAATGTAAAAAACAATGTACCAATGTCTGTGGCATTCCTTGAAGCACGATACGAGTTCTGTCTTTGCCGCACTGTACCATTAATCGTAAAAATTGTAATATAAAATAAGTTTGTTGAGACACTTCCCCATCTCTTCCAGCAAGAAACGTGAATGTTGTAAATAATCCGTTTAATGCAGTGGAAAGTGGATCCCTTAAGATAATTGATTTCTGCCCGTTAGTCGAATTTTGGGTTTGTGGACTTTGCGAACCAAATATAGTATTAGTATCTCCAGTTTCATTGAGTCTTAAAATTTTATTTGCAGGTACCCCTAATGCATCCAATTCGTCCGCATCTAAATCACGACGAACACGTTTCCTATTGTTTCCACGATATGGATTCGAATTGTTGTATTCTAATGTCGAAAATATGCAGTATACGCAAAGTTTTGCTAATATCGAGGATTGTGGTTCGACGAATTCTTCACTCCTGTAACAAATATTAAAAAATAATTAATTAAAAATTTTATTAGGTTTTATTTCTTGTTTTATTTTCAATAAACTTACTGTAACGAATTGTATAAATATTGTGGAATGATATGATTAATAAGATCCAATGTACAATTTTCAATATCAAGATGAAATAACGCAAATGCTAGGTCCACAGCTTGGTCTAATTCTTCCTGGTATCTATATTTCAAGACTTCTTTGACTATGTTTGAAACGAACCATAACGAGCCACCCGTGTTTAACAATAACTCTAACGATTGCGTCGCCTGCATACAAATCCAACCGCGTTGATTTATACTATACCAAACAGATTCTAGTTGCTCTAATATTGGTTGTCGTGATATAATACTAAAAATGAAAAAACCCGACATTACAATAAATATAGTATAATATTCGTATAGATATTTTAATTATCATTTAATGTGTATACCTGTACCTGTGAGATATTGAAAGTACTTTCGTTTTGGATTGCGTTGGTGGATGCACGTCATATTGCATTTTTCTTATAATTTGTGACATCAGACTCGATCTTTCGTAAAAAGAAAATTAGCAATAATTAAGCAACGATTAATAAATAGACACGTGATAATTCTAAGCATGAAAATATCAAACAATAATAATAATTTACTATTATTAACCTTTCTTTGAAATTGTCTTGCATTTCTTCCCCAGGAAGAGGAGTCAAAAAATGTTGAACCATATTCATAGGTTTAAGAAGTGCATCCTGATGGGTAATACTCATATACGCGCAAAGCCAAGCAGCTGCACATACTGGTAAACAGCAAGCAGCTGTACGCAATCCATCTAATGTTCTTTTTACATCACCTGCACCTAATACACCGCTTTCCCATGCACAAAGTAATTCTTTAACTGCTCCCATCGCAGATTGACAAGCAACGTGCCATTTCATATTATTAGATTTAAAGTCTGGATCCGAAGAGTTAATTTGTGCTAACAACGTGTCCACTCTAGTCGGATCAATATTTTGTAACATTTTTTGGGGAGACTTTGGTTTATTTCGTTCAGGCATACATTCACGTACCCATTGTTCAAAAAATGAATCTCCGCCTTCTTCTAAAACTACCTGCGAGAATAAGAATATCGTAATATAAAAAATATTTATGTATAAACATAATTTATAATAAATATAAAACTCACATCAGAACCATAAGTTTGTACAATAGAACAGAGCATTAAAAAAGACACATCAAATAACATAGCTCTTGTTGCAGCTGTTTTGTTAGGAACAGGTTCATTGATCTGTTTACTACATTCATTAAATTTAATTAATTTAGTAACAAATGTTTTCAATTTGCCTTCTACCGTAGCAACCGCAAGCATCAATTCGAAACTTTTTCCTGACAACACTTGATATAACATACTAAGTAAGGCCTCGTGAATTTTTGTATAGTCAGCATTAAGAGTCTTTAAAATTCCTGCTAACGTTGGTTCTGCTCTTATAATTACTTTTGGAATGGATGATGTCGGCGTACTGGTAGTTTCTAATTTTTGCAATGCTGCAGTTAATCCTTCTCTAAAATATTATTTACATAAATATGTTATAAGATATATTAAAATAATGCATTTAGATAAATTTCAAATATATTTTAATACCTTCTACTACTCAATTGCTTTGCCTGTTTTTCCGTAACAAGATTCACCTTTTGTAATTCATTTAATAAGCATTCGATGCAATTACATGAGCATGTAGTATCCATTATATCAAGAAGAGGAGTAAATTGTAATAACAGTTCCAACGAGTCTAAAATATCTTGCGAATATTCATATTTTTCATCTCCTGAAAATATAGACACTTTGTTAAAATGCACAAAGATATCATAGAAAATGTTGAATTACTTTATTCTTAATTACCATTCAGTGTAGCATTGTGAAGTTCTTTTAAAATAACAGGAACTTTTAAAAATGTAAATGCACCCCACTGCGACTCATTAAATGTTCCAGTAACATTATGCAAACACATTAAACAAGCACGCATAATTTCACAATAAAGTCTTGCATTAGAATAACTTTTTAAACGTTGTACCATTTGCAATTGATTAACAAAGACGGTTGTTTCTGTACTTGGATTTAGTAACACTTGAACTGCAAATAATGGCTGCAAACAATGCGTTATAGATTCCATCCTCGATTTTTCAGGCGATAAAGCGAGAATTTCAACTTCCAAATTGCACAACTTTTTGAGAGATTCTTCTATAGAAACTGATGGTTTTAAGTTACTACTCTTTAATAACGTTTCTATTTCTTGACATTTTCTAACCACTACAATGTACAATTCTAAAATCATAAAATACAATTAATCACTAGATAAATAAAAGATCATAAATCATAACAAATTATATATAGATACCTTTATCGTCATACTGAGCTAAGTACATCATTGCACAAAGGAAATCTGAAGCGAGCATTTGTTTCAAAATACTTGCTGGTTTATCTATAAGTTCATTAACTTGCTGTGACATAGAATTGCTCTGAGGCATTTTATTTAATGCATGCAAATAACATTGCAATAACCAATGGACTATGGATAAAACTGCAGCAGCTAGAAAATCTTCCTCTGGCTTTCCACGACAAGTTATACCAATTTGAATAGATTCCAAAAACTCTAATAAGCTCACAATGCAATGAGGCTTATGAAAACCATCGTATTTGCTTATACGTTGCAATACAGCAGCATATGAGACTAACTAAAAAGTTATAAGAATTATATTAGTAAGTTGAATTTATGTAGTTTAATACATTTGTTATTATACCGTGAAAAAGAAATTTTAATGACAGCCTAGAACTTATTTTTCACATTGATTACAGTGATTACAAATGTGTGATATTGAACCTCAGTGGAAATTGTGTGTCGCGGATACGTGACACTGATTATAATATAACACGCTAACCTGAGAACATAATGAATGTTTCAAATATGATAACACTAATTGATTGGGACCGGGTCCCACTAACGCTTGTTGTAAAATACAGTCTGCTAAATTGTACACATCTCCGCTAACTCCTCTAGGCAAAATCTAAAAGATTAAAATAAAAAAATACTAATAAATAAAATCTATATTTAAATAGATAGATATTAATAGATAACTCTTACTGTCTTTATATTTATACCCCACTGTAGATCGCTCCATCGTTCTCTCCATGCTCTTAATAACAAAGCTTTTAAGCTACTTGTTTTGCTGGTTACTTTCGTCTCCATCACTGAATTTAATAAAAGATTACACATAGTTCCTACAGAGAATAATATTTACATTTCAATGGAATATAGATAAGTTGTTCATTAAAAGTAATTGTTTCTACTAAATTAATATACTTCAGTTAAATCAATAAAATAATTTTTCTACTAATATATCGTTAATATTCTATATACAAGGAAAATTGATGAATATAATATTATAAATAAACATAATTCAATCGTCTTCTTCAGAAGAAGAAGAAAGAAAAAGAAGATAATTCAATCGTTATATATATGTATATATATTTTTCCTAACCAAAATTACATGCTTCATAACCTATCACTTAACCAAATATAACGTTCGTAATTTCTCATTTTAATATAAAAATCATTTTAATTCTTATTATTTATACATACCATATTTATAATACAATACGATTATATTTCATATATAATTAAAAATTATGTACATTTAACCAATTTTTAAAATATATTACTAATGTTTATCATATTTAATGTTGTCTAACTTTACTTTTCACCTAAAGTGTATGCGACCTCAGCGACAGGTACGAACAAAATTTGAACTAAAAGCGTAGTAAGGGAACAATCTCCTCTACTATGCGTCTTTATTATCAATGAATAAGCTTGTGTAAGTTTTACTCCTGTCACATTAACATGAGTTAGAGTATTGTGTTAGTAAGCTGAACTTACACTTTTCAATATTTCATCTGTATGTTAAATAGAATTCAAGATTGATGCAATTTTAATTGATAACAGATCTGCAAAGAAAATAATATAATTAAATATAATTTATAATATTTTTTAAGTATAATAAATAAATATTTTATACATAACTAATTTATTTCAGTATAAGTCCTACTTCCTGTTAAGATAAACTAAGTCAAGAAAAATTTCCTGGATTTTATAAACAATGAGACTTTATATTTATTACTCGTTGTCTACTTTGATCTGAGACAATCACAATGAACACGTCGTATGAAAACAATATATTTCTTTTTATTTAAACAATTTTATTAAACATCAAATCTTTCAAAACAAAGTGATTGTCCTTCCTCTTCATACTCTTCTCTTGTCACAAGAAGACTAGGGAATATCGAATCTTTTGATAGCGCTTTCCCACCATACCATGCATAAGTGATCGGACTGTCAATAAAAAATATTTATATAAGAAAATTTTGTATAACATTCCAATATAAGATTAATCATAATAAAATAGAAAGAATACTTGCTTCTCCGGTGAATAAACATTAATTGTATAATCAAATGATGCAAAACTTCTAACTTCTTTATAAACTCTATCTCGAAAACCTGGAAATTTGGCGTTTCCTCCTGTAAGCACTATGTTAGACAAAAGATGTGGCCATGTTTCTTCATCGCAAGCTTTCAAACAATCTATGATAGCCTCAGGTATACCCATTTGTCGAATACCAACATCAGATGGATGAAAAAGAATTTCAGGTATGGCAAATCGTTCATTACTTAAACGAACTGCTTGCTGTTCGTTAGAAAATTCTGGATTTTTAAGAAAGCCACGCCGTAATGTCGTATAATCTGGCAAAACGTAATCCTTGACGATATCGTTATTCTCTAACTTTTTCTTAGCAGATTCCATATCCTTGTAAAAATCTTGCGATACGAAGCAAGAATCTTCTTTTGCTTGATTTATCACGTATGTTTCATCCATAACGTGTAACTGACGATAAGATATTATTTCTTTCAAATGATTAGTAAGAAGTTTGCCACCTACATCTATTCTTCTTATACCTTCCTTAATTTTAATACCATTTACATAAGGAACGATATGTGTAAAGCTATATCCAGTATCAACTATTATACAACATTTAGTACCAGGCTTTTCGCTCCTATAATTATAGCATGAAAGATTACTGGTATTAATCCTGAGAAGACTATGACATTCATATTCTTCAAAAAATATTTCAGTCATGGCTTCTTGAATGCTTGCGAAATTAAATAATGGTTCTGTTATTATCACAGAAAGTTGATTTAAATTAACGGGACAACATTCTTTAGAAAATATATAATCCCAAACAGTTTTTTGAATATCCCAATTGACAAGATATCCTTTTTGAAATGGTAAAATATAAAATAGTCCAGATGCATCTCTACATTCTTCTATTTGACTTCCTATGAACGGTCTTCTGCGTTCACTTTTTGCCTTCATTATACAGTTAGGAACTACCCTGTAAATATCACAAAATTAAACATTATTATTAATTATGAATATAATAAGTAATATTATTTATTTCATAAACATTAAATTACTTGGGATTTTCTGTGGAAAGTCCAACTTTGGTTGTGTATGCTCCATTATCCAAAATGAATGCAGGATTAGCCATATTAGATTTATGCTAATTAAATTTAATTACATTATGTTATCCTGCTTTCATTTAATATTTGTTAACACTGCACCGATACTTATCATTTAGTATATTCAGAGTAAAAAAGTAAACTAACAACCATCGTTCTCTGCTATTCAGCATGCAAGCACTGCGCCATTGTTCCCGCGTTTGAATAGTGCGGGAAATTCAAACGACTATTCATTTATTATTTAAATTAATTTTATATTATGTTTTTAATACATTATTTGTTTATTTTTATTTACGAGACGTATTAAAAATACGCAATAAATTTATTTATCCATTTCCTTTATTTTTTTATTTTTTAATGAAATATTTATTTTGACACTTACAACTTTATTTGTGTAACCTCAACAAGCAATTAATTATAAATATCGAGAACACGTAATTCACTAATCTTGAAAAAAATATTATGATAACATTGTATTTGTTACGATTTTGTTTATCATAGCAATCAGTTTTTAAAAATATTCTAAAGATTATTCGGAAAAATGCATATCATTGCAGAATATCGATTATTTAATACAAGAATGGAGTATGCATTACCATGCAATACGTGTTACTTAAAATGTAAAGAAATTAATATCTATCAAAAGGTTTATATTTAAATAAATACTCTTACGCAATGCATTATTATTAATTATACAATATTTCAATTCTAGCTACGTCAATAAAAATGTAATATATAAGCATTACGTTTTTATTTGTCGTCATATATGTTTTCTTTTAAAATTGTAAATATTCTTGAGGTATGTCATAGTTTTTATTATATTAACATACATAGATATATTAACTTGGACTTTGTATTATCAGACATTGATTTTTTATGGTTGCAGATATAAGATACTTTTAACATAGAAGAGAGTTTGTTTGATTGATTATTAGTAAAAAAGAATTTTAAAAAAATATTTCAAAATGGAAAAAAACTGTGAATGGACTGATTTATTGAAAGACAGAAGAAATTATTCTGATTTGTTATGGGTTTCTAGATACATGGATATACAAATGCCTCATATGCTACCGCCAGAATTAAAATTATCTAGAAATGAAATAATAAATACAGTATTAAATAATCAACGTATCAAAGAAGTAATCAATTATTTAGCAGAAAATCAAAATGTATCTAAATCTGCTATCGAAAGAAGGGCTTACGCTATTTTACAAGAAATGGCAAGTAAGGCTCATGTGCCTACAGTTCGTTGGCTAGGTATATTCTATTCCTTTCTTACATGGATGTGTTACAAGATAACACCATACATGCAATTATTATTATTTATGAAATCATTTTAAATTTGATATATTTTGGTTTATCCAGGTTTTTTCATCATTAAAGTTCTGAAGAAAATTTTTCACAATATTTATATTAATGAAGAGATGATATTAGACTTGAAAAAGCAAATGTCTATTTGTCAAAAACAATATATCTATGTACCTTCACACAGAAGTTATTTAGATTTCATCTTACTGTCATGTTTTCTCTTTTCTTACAATATGTCCTTACCGAATATAGCAAGTGGTATGGACTTTTATCGAATGAAATTTATTGGAGAATTATTACGTAAAACTGGAGCGTTTTATATGAGACGTAGTTTTTCTAACGATTTATTATACAAAGAAATTTTCAAAGCGTATGTTACTTGTATTACAAATTACAGTGATAAAGCGATTGAATTTTTTATCGAAGGTACTCGCAGTAGAAGTCAAAAAAGTATCGAACCAAAGTATGGTAAGTATCTGTATCATTTTACAGTAAGAAAAAGAATGATTGGTTACACATTATTATATATTATTTTCATATATTCATTTTTTAGGTCTCTTATCTATCATTCTGGATAGTTATCTCCAAAGTACTGTACCTGATATTCAGTTTGTTCCAATTAGTATTAGTTATGATCGCCCAATAGAAGAAAACTTATTTGTTTACGAACTGTTAGGTGTGCCAAAACCAAAAGAAACAACAGTCGCTCTAATGCGATTTATGTCTTTATTAAAAGATCTTGGTTCTTTTGGATCAGTCTTTTTCAATATCGGCAAACCTATTTCTGCTTCACAATATGTATCATTAAAGGATCGTAAAACCAAAATTATGAATCCTGATTATAAATTATCATCAAATATTATAAAAAATTTAGCATATGACATAATAGATGCTCATCAAAAAAGTACGGTGCTTACAACTTTCAATATAATTGCTTTGTTGTTTAATGAGAGAGTACAAACGTATCCTGGAAATCCGTATACTCTTGAGACATTGGCGGAAGATTACAGATGGTATAAACAATGGTTTTCTTCATTAGGAGCTGTAATCTATCCAGCAGTTAATAAGTATTATTTTGTTTTTTCAACTTTTTTCTTAGAAATAAAATTGTATATTCTTTTTTAATTCAAAAATATTTTTCTATAGTGTGACTGCAGATGAATTATACAAGGAAATATTACTATCGCTAGAAACGCATTCAGAATTGCTTAAGTTAGATAAATCGAAAGTATTGCACTTACAAAACACATATACAGAAATTAAATCGGAAGAAAATACAAACATAAAGGGACATAATTTGAATAAGCGTATTATGGAAATAGCAGTACCAGCTATTAACTTAACTATTTATGTGAACCCTACTTTATATTTTCTTGTTAAATTAGGAATGATTACAACAACAGTTGGATTAGACACTATTCATATTGGTAACTTTTAATTATAATAATATTATAATATTATTAAAAGTAATAAACATAAACTAGTTTCATTATTTTTTCTTATTTTTAGATAAAGCCTTCGAACGATACGTTCTTTTGAGGAAATTATTAAGTACAGAATTTGCGTTATTTATAAATGCAAATTCTTCTGTAGTTAATTTGGAATGGAAAAAATCGATTGATATTTTAGTGAAAGAAGGCTGTTTAAATATTAAGAATAATTTTATTACTGGACAAAAAACTGCGTTGTTTTCTCTCCTGCATAATCTTTTGTTACCATTTATCGATGCTGCACATTTTACCTGCACTACTTTATTCGACGTAAGAACACGAATAATATATTTTATATATATTGAATATGTACAATATTATTTTAATTTATAATTTTTCTATAAATTTATTCTAGTGGAATGAATCAGTTCTGGGTACCATAACAAACCAAAAAATATTGACAGAATGTCAGAAGCAAGTAGAGATAGCATTATTGGAGGAAACTAATTCTCGTCCTCATCCGTACTGTTTGTCGCTTGACCTATTTAAGTCTACATTGTCTAATCTTTTACAACAAGGTATTGTTGTAAAATCCGAAAAAGAAGGTATTTATTTAATAGATAAAATACAAATGGAACTTCTTATTATGAAATTACGTCAGCTTCCATTATTACATCCTTCGGGATCTTATAGCGATATTTCTTTATCAGTATTAAATAATTCGCTATGCATACAAGCTAAATTATGAAAAAATCTATATATACTAAATATTTACAAAGTTTATACTGATTTTAAATATATCTACATTTTTATTTTTCCATTCTTTTATAATCAAGTACTTATAATTGTGTAATCAAAAAATGAATATAAACTATTATTGATTATTATTAGAAATTATTATTGATACTTTTGGTATTAATTTGTATTAAACATTTATACATATAAGTACAGCTTAAAAAATTAATTCAGTTAATATTATGAAATATATTAGAATGGAGACTATATATCAATATTTTATTGTTCTACGTTTGTATTTTATATGAGATTAACGATTAAATATTAGAAATGAAGTTATCCACGCTATGAAAGATTCTTGCTGTCTCTTCATTAAATTCTTCCACCGATCTTTTTTTCTTACCAACGAATACGGTGGGCGTAGTAACTTGTGTTCCGTTATTTCGAAAAAGAAGCTACAATAATGATTAGTCTTATGTACTTCTTTTTTTATACATTTTAAATACATTTTATAATTTATTTTTTAAATTATCTTACCATGACTAATCTAACCAGATAAACGGCAAATGTAAGAAATGAAATAGCCATTAATGCTCCTTCTAGAGAAGGAAAGCCCAATCCGTGATCTTCATAATCATCGTATCCGTGTTCATAATGTTCACCGGTACCTCTTTTTATGCGATTCGGATTTATACATTTGATGAGTCTAGATTCTATACAAAATTAATTTTGTTTTATATAAATTTCTATATAGACGTTTCTATATAGATTTGGTATTTAATTAATTTCTAAACGTAAGACATTAATGTTAATAAAATAAATAATTTAATTTGATTCACCTATTTCATGCAACAATATTTTTTCAAACGATTTTAAAAATTGTAGTTTGCCTTTTGTACTTAAAGGTTGAGATTTTAAACTTTGATGAACAGTTTTAAATAATTCAGTTGGTAAATACATTAGGAATGTATTTTTATCTTCTTTTAAAGTTTCATTTACATTTTTGTTAGACTGCTTTAATTTCTGTTGGAATATAGCTTCTTCAGTATCATGAATTACTGTATCTGATATTGTAAATTCTTTTAATTTTATTCGATCAGACTCAATCAGTAATTTATCCTGCAATACATATTTCACATTAAATTTAATTAATGAAACAATTTAAACAGCAATAATATCGATGAAATAATTTCAATCAGTATTGTGTACACTTGTCATGTAATCATACGTTTTTTTACAATGTAAGCTTTTTATTATACTTCTTACCATGTCATAACTATTATTTTTAATCTCACAATGAATCTCGTCAATAGGTTTAGCAGACACATTTGTAAAATATTGATTTATCTCAGAGTATGATTCTGTTACTGTTAACCGAGTTACATTTAAATCTGTGTTTTTTATTGATGGAATTTGAATTTCTTGTTGTTCTTCGTAAATCATACCGTTTTGTTTTTTATGAAAATAACTATTATTATCGTCATTTCGTATAAATTTGTATTCGTGGTCACGTTTAGAAAAAGGAATTCTATGAAAATGAAGACAATATCATAGAAATTGAAATAATTATATCTATTCTATTGTAATTTATATATATATCTAATATATAAAATGTGCATTATTCAAATAATATAGAATATAACGCATACCTGTAAACTTTTGTTTCATCTGAAAACTCAGGCATTTCAACCCATCCACTTTTAACATCTTTCGAAAAATACAACATTCCAAAAATGATATGATATATGAGCATCTTAATTGAATTTATTACTTCGTTTAACTTTTCATATATAATTAATTAGTAAAAATATAGTTATTAATAAAAAAGTTATACGTACTCGTATCGTTCTTTAAATTTTGTTAGACGTGACGACTTTAATATAACTGACGACAAGTAAGTGTGACGTAGGATACGCACGAAATAACTAATCGCTTAAGCTATTATTTCCAGCAGGAGTTCTGTTAGAAATAAGATGGAGACGAATGTTACATTTGTAATAACTCTAAAAAAGTATATTGTATAAAAAAGTTTAGTTTATTTATTTACTTTTATATGCAATAACCACTCAATTTTTTTGTTGAGTAGTATTTAAATATTTACAATTTCAAGAGAAAAATTGTATGAGATATTAGGATGTACGAAAATGGAAATAATGCGATACAAAATTACTAATAACATAATTCTATTGTATCGCAAGGAATCCATTTTGAACTTTCTAAAGCATCCCATAAATTATAATCTTGTTCAATTATTTCTCTATTAAATTTGTCAATATCCAAAGGTACAGAATGTTCTGAAAATAATATAATTGATAATTAATAATGATTAACATGTTCTGTATATAAAAAAAATATAAACAAATTGTTCTGTAACAATAGATATACCAATTAATTCTAATTCATCTTCTTCTGGTTTCTGATCAGAAACATAGCTATTGTAAGCGTCCGATGTTGGTTCACTTTCGTAATAACCTTGTTGCCAAGCACTGTAACTACTCCAATAGGAAGAAGTATCGTAATAGTTATATGCTTCAGAGTTCATGTTGGATGGTGCATATTCTGAAGACGATTGAGGTGGTGTCGATCTGAAAATAATCATTATAATCATATAATTGTTATATATAGTTATAATTATTTTTAACAATATTTAAGATTTGAGTGAAAGTAAATTTAAACATTTTATTCCAAGGTCTTGGTACTGCATTGCAGATTTTGAGAGACTTTGTTCCTAATCCTCTGTATCCATTCATCGCAACCAAACTATTCTTTTGTTCTTCTTCATTAGCGAATCTTACAAAACCGTAACCTTTACTGAATCCTGAACTATCCAATATTACTTTAGCTGTTCTAATGGAATTATATTTAGCAGCGAATGCTCTATATAAAGAATAATCGTCAACATCCGTTGATAAATCTCCAACCCAAATACTGAATTCTCTGTCAGCGGCAGGTTTACCGGTAGTGCTGGCATGATTTAGCCGAAATCTTACTGTCTGTTATTAGAAACATTTTAATAATTAATCATAAGACATTCAAATGACAATCACTTTGTCATTGTATAAAATAATGAACTAAAGTTCTATTAAAATACAAACAGGATTTGAACCAGGAATAGCTTTGCCATTAAGCTTATGCATAGCATCCAATGCCATTTCATCTGTTGGAAAGTGTACAAAACAATAACCAGCCGGTTCACCAGTATACCGATTTCGCATTACTTTTACAGTTTGAGGTTGTTCTCCCATTTTATGGAAAGCGTTCATAATAAAACTTTCCGTCATGTATGGCTCCAACTGTAAAATAAAATATATTGAATAAAAAATATTTTATTAATTTGATAACATTCCAATGATATAACAATACATTAAACAAATTTGAAAGAAAATATTGAATAAAAAATACTTACGCCACCCATCCATAATTGACATAATACCATTGGCCCTGACGACATAATCTTTTTTGTAACAAACAAAATATAAATTATTTTATACGACTGTTGGATTTTTCCTTTAATTTAGGCTTATAATATAATCTAATTATTTTCGTCAATTATTAGAGTATATAGGTTAGGTTTAATATACATGCAAATTGTTTATGAAATAAATATATTACTTAATGATATTTTCTAATAATTATTTATTAATTCTTATATATATGAATATAAATTTATTATTATTTACTATTGTTTATTATTTTAAAGTTTCTTTGACGTGGTCTAAAAAAACTAGTAATAAAAGGAAGGCAATGCTGTTGAATAAAAATCACTAAGAAAACAAACAGTGAACAGTTGAGATTGTTCGATTGGTAACAATGTTAGTGATAAGAAAATATGGTGATATTATTCGTTTTTCTTTCATGGTTTTTATGCTTGAAACATTTGTATACATAATTTTTAAATAAATATATATATATATATATATATATATGTATATGTATATAAATATATATTTTTCAAAATATAAAAAATTTGACTAGAAATAAATAAGTTAGTTTCACTTTCATTTTAACGTGTCTTATGCACTTCTAACCGTTCACTCGGCCGCAGGTATTAGGTTATGGGTAAGCATTGGTGACAAAAAGCCGATTAATAGGCTATCAGTCGGTTAAGTGTTAAGTAAATTGCTAATTCGTAGGGTTCACATATTTTCGATGTCATAATTAAATTTAGTGTTCAGAGACAACAATGATTAGATATGTAATATAGATGATACTGATTTTAAGATTCAAATCAATATCCCAATGATGCATCAGGAGTTGAAGGTGATTCAAGAGCCACTTCTTCGTAATCTCGTTCGAGTGCCGCAAGATCTTCACGAGCTTCTGTAAATTCTCCTTCTTCCATACCTTCTCCCACGTACCAATGAACGAAAGCCCTTTTATTGTACATTAGGTCGAATTTGTGATTCAATTTAGCCCAGGCTTCTTCAATGGCCGTAGTATTAGATAACATTGATACTGCACGTTGTACCTACATTATTTTTTTCATATACCTTATATTTAATCTTTGTTTTTTAATTAATTGTTAAGGATAAGAGGAAGAAGATGATTAAAAAAAGTTGATGCATTCGTTCGTTTAATTTGATTAATACCTTAGCTAAATCTCCACCAGGTACTACGGTTGGTGGCTGATAATTAATACCAACTTTAAAACCAGTTGGACACCAGTCAACAAAACGAATACAACTTTTTCCTTTCATAGCAGCAATCGCAGCATTGACATCTTTTGGTACAACATCGCCACGATATAAAAGACAACACGCCATATATTTTCCTTCTCGTGGATCACATTTAACCATTTGATTAGTTGCTTCAAAACACTCCGATGTAATTTCAGCGACAGTCATTCCTTCATGAAAAGCTTTATCAGCGGAAACAACTGGTGCATAAGTTGCAAGAGGAAAATGTATTCTTGGATAAGGTACTAAGTTAGTTTGAAATTCAGTCAGATCTACATTCAAGGCACCATCGAATCTTAAGGATGCTGTTATGGAAGATACTACTTGGCTTATGAGTCTATTTAAATTAGCATAAGATGGTCTCTCTATTCCTAATTTTCGTCGACAAATATCATAAATAGCTTCATTGTCAACCATGAATGCGCAATCCGAATGGCTGATAGTTGTATGTGTTGTTAAAATTGCATTATAAGGTTCAACTACAGCAGTAGAGACCTGAAATTCAAGTATTACCAATATTATATTTTTTTTAAATGCATAATGTTGGTAACAAACAAAAAAAGTAATGAACTTACTTGAGGCGCTGGATACACAGCAAATTCTAATTTACTTTTTTTTCCATAATCGTCAGAGAGCTTTTGCATGAGCAAAGAAGTAAATCCTGACCCTGTACCTCCACCAAATGAATGAAAGACAAAAAATCCCTGCAATCCTGTGCACTGATCAGTCAGCCTCCTAATTCGGTCCATTACGGATTCAATGACTTCTCTGCCAATGGAATAATGACCTCGAGCATAATTATTAGCAGCATCTTCCTTCCCAGTGATAAGTTGCTCTGGATGATACAACTGTTTGTAGGGACCAATGCGAACTTCGTCTAAAAATCAATTAATATTGTAACTATAATGTTGATTATAATAATTGTTTTTGCAAAAGGTTATTTTAAGAGATTTTACCAACGACAGTTGGTTCAAGATCAACCATTACAGCTCTTGGTACCATTTTACCAGAACTTGTCTCATTGAAAAATGTATTAAAACAATCATTTGTTCCGGTAGCTTTATCAGAAGGCATTGTACCATCTGGTTGAATGCCATGTTCTAGACAATACAATTCCCAACAAGCATTTCCCATCTGCACTCCTGCTTGACCAACGTGCATTGATATACATTCACGCTAAAAAAAATATAACATTTAATTCGTGTTTCAATTACGGATTTATATATATTTAGGAACTTTAACAGCTTATTGTTAATTTATATTATTTGCAACATAAAAAATATTCAAGAAAGAAACATAAAAGCTTGCATTAAATATTTTTTATATTTTCATAATCTGGATTTCTTCAATGTCTACTATATTTAATTAATTAGAAACAAGAATATAAAAAGATATTTATATTTATATAATTAACATACCATTTTTATAATTTTTATTATCCTGTTTAACGGTATAAAAAAGATTTCAAAACTATAATAATTTAGATATAATAATAAAATATAAGATTTTGTATAAATAAAAACGTGAAATTTTGAATCAGCCGCAAACTGCTATAAAAAATAAAACACTCTGATTGATTTCAGTTGCCTAGGTGACCATTGCAAAAATAAAATTCAAAGATGCATATAAAATAAGTATTGTTTTATTTAAACATTATTAAGATTGATTTTCAAATAAGAAGTTAAAATTTGTTCAATTGTAATGAAATCAACGAATAATTTAAACAAAACTATACTTTGAATAAGATTTGAGTTGCATTTATTACTATTGTACTTTTAACAAGATTTGAATTGCATTCATTAATATTTACGTAAGAATGACCAATCAGAGAACTTTGATATCACAATGTTTGAATTTTTCTAGTATTTTTTTCTTATGAAGTTTTATCTTCTCTCGTGACATGATGTCAGTTCTTATCAGTAGGCAGTAATTTGAAACGTTGTTATTTAAAACAATATTCCTCTAAAGTTTTTACAATTTTTTCCACTAGAATTTAGATATATATAGTAATATATAGTAATACAAATAATTGTTTTGTATATATAACATTAATAATTGCTTTGTATTTGAAAATAAAAAAGAATAAAAGAATTATGTTGCCACCAACTTATGTCGAAGGCTTCCATGATCTGGAAACAATTAAAGCAATGAAATATGATAAACTTGGGAATACAAATTTATACATCAGTAAATTGTCTTTTGGTAGTGGACCACTTGGTGTTCATTATGGGTATGCCAATAATAAAATTTAGTATTTTTTTGTTCATTTTTTTTATTGCTCAATTAACGTTGCATTTATTTGCAGCAATTTTGATGAAAAAGAAGCGATTGAAACTATACGACAAGCTATAAAAGAAGGTATAAATTACATTGACACATCGCCATGGTACGGACAAGGAAAATCAGAAAAGATTATTGGAAAGGTAAAATTATGTTCAAAAGAAATTTAACTCTTTCCTTAATTTTTGTTAATATCTTTTTTTCTTTTTCATTATTTTAAAATTAGGCATTAGAAGGAATTCCTCGTCAAGCATATTACATTGCAACTAAAGTCGGAAGATACGAGTTGAATGTTGAAAAAATGTTTGATTTTTCACGTGAAAAAACAAGAGATAGTATTAAAAACAGTTTGAGTAATTTAAAATTGAATTACGTTGACATTATTCAGGTAAATATGTATTCTATGCCGTTACAAGTTATTGTATAATGTTTTTTAAAAATATAAAACTCTTTATATTTTACAGGTTCATGACATAGAATTTGCTCCATCTCTGGATGTGATAATTTCACAAACTTTGCCGGAATTATCCAAACAAGTTGCTGACAAAAAAGCCAGATATATTGGTATTACTGGCTATCCAATTTCTGTTTTAAAAGAATGCATTGAACGTAGCAATATTGATATTGCATGTGTGTTAACTTATTCCAGGTTTACTTTGCTAGATAATTCTTTAATCCAGTATATAGAATTCTTTAAGGTTCAAAACTCAAATCAAAAACTGTTTCATTTTCAGAATAACAGATTGATATTAAAAGATAAATGCTTATATTTTAGAACCATAATATTGGTATAATTAATGCCTCTCTACTTGCCATGGGCCTTTTAACGAGCAGTGGCCCTCCATCTTGGCATCCTGCTAGTGAAGAAATAAAAAATACTTGTTCAGATGTTGCACGATATTGCAAGGTTATTATTACTGATTTTTATCATATTGAATTAAGGAACTATTATAGATAATTGTTTATTAATGAAACAATATAATTATGCTATCTTTTATGATTTATTTTGATGATATCTTCAATTAGGAAAACAATGTTGAAATAAGTAAATTAGCAGTGTGGTATGCTATGGAATGTGAACATATAACTACAAGTTTGATTGGTATTCAAAATATGCAGCAATTAATAATGAATTTAAACGTATCAAGAAATGGTATTACGGACAAGGAAAAAGAACTATTAAATTTGATCAAAGAGAAGTAAATAATAACTACTGTGATAAATCTTTCTCAAAAACAAAAAATAAAAAACAATCAATTTCTTATTGATTTATTATTTTAGTTACTTAAACCGAATCGAATTGAAACATTGGGAAGGCGTAGAATTAAAAAAATACTGGCAAACTAAAGGCGATAAAAAAAAAATTAAAATTATTTGACAATAATTTTTAAGTGAACTACCAGTGATCGGTAAATAAACTGATATTTTTTATTACTGCTTTATCAACAGAAGTATAACGCACAGGTATGAATAATATTAATTATAATTGAGGAAAAAAGATGTGTGTGTGTGGTAATAATTAACACTAATAGAATATAAAAATAAATATTAATATTAGTAAAGTTTGTTGTTAATAACAAGAAATTTTATACTAGCCAAAAGGCCTTATAATAAATAAACATTTATTATATAGAACAGAAAATGGATGAAAATAATCTTTGATTTAAATATTTAATCTATTTCTGTTCTTTGGGCAGAATCAGATACTTTATCTTTGTTATTGGATTATTCCAATGGTGGTGATACTGGATTATTCTTTAATATTATGTTTTAAGGGATACATATATTCATAATTAGGTATTGCCATTAATGAGTTGAAAAAACTTAATTTATGCTTCTTATGTAATTTAAAACCTTTAGTATTAATCATATTCATAGCTTCGTTCATGTATTTAGAGAGTATAATATTAGCACAATCGTATCCATTATTACTAGCAAATATGAGAGCCAGATTCAAAAGGCGAGACCCTATTCGTACCCTTCTGAATTCTTTATGAACAAATAATCTCTTTATTATGGCAGCATTTGGTATTTTATTATGTTTATACAATCCGATAGTAGCTATTATTTTTCTATCATATGCAAATACATTGATATCATAATTATCAAATTCCTCCTCGGTTATAAATAAATAATAATTTTTTTTAGAAGGATCTATTGAACGAAGTTGAAATGTTTCAGCTATCCAAAAACATGTTGATTTGTCCGACATATAAATCCTGTTTAGATCAAATAAAATTATTCTATTTTATATCAAATTCATACTGTTTAACTTAACGAGAAAATAAGTAAGAACAGATGAACATAATAAAAATAATCAATACGTTGATTGCCAAGCAAATTTTACAAATTTTTCAATGGAAACCACAATTTCAAAATAAAATAAAATAATATAGTGACGTCGGACAAGTTCCCCTTTTCTCACCCCATTGAAAAAACAAACACCGGTCACAGGTGACCCATGCGGCAATCAAGGTATTAAAAATTAAAACACTAATGAATAAAGAAAATAAATAGATAATGATGAATATAATACTTCATAATGTCAGATACTTCTCGTTGAATCTTCTCAACTCTCTTCCACATTATTGCAAGAGTTATAATGTATAATGAAACAAGTGCCGTAAGCATAATCATATAATAATAAATATCGATACAGATGATAAGATATAACATAGCCATACATATCCAAAGAAGTAGCGGCGCACCATTTTGTATATCAAATTTTGTAAAAAATACTTTATTTGTTAAGCTCAATGTCCCATTTTTAAGTAATTCTTTGCAATGATATTCATCTTCTGCAATATAACGCCGAAAAACTATAAAACTTTCCATATTGACTAATTAGAAAAATATTTTCAATATAAAAGTCAATAAATATAAGTGTAATAATATTTCTAGTGATTTATATTTAAATTTTTAATAAATTAGAAATATTTCTATAATATACATATAAAATCGTTAAAAGTTATATACACTATACCAAATTATCTAATTATAGACGGGTTCCTATAGATGCGTGTATATGTATATCAAGGTCACCCCATAGAAAAGATTCAAATTTCTTATGGTTCTAATATTTTTAAATTAAACATTTACTGCGGTATTGTTCAAAGTGAAAATAGTATTAGAAAATAGTATTAGAAAATAGTATTAGAAAATAATATAAAACTAATTATTAAAAATATTAATATTAAAAATATAAAACTAATTAAATTTAATATTAATATTAGATAAAACTAATTGTTTTTAAATGTTTTCTTTGTATATGAAGTGAGATTTTCATGGAACAACATTAAGCATTATTTTCAATATTCCCTATAAATTTAGCAACTGCAGCGCCGCGGCGTCGTGTGGCCGACACAGCGCATCTGTTTACACGCTAGTGTCATCTACAGTGTAAAAGTGTTTGCAAAATTCTATTAAAATTATAAATTTTTTCGGCCATTAGTTATTCTATGTACGTGGAATTAATCTGGACTATATTAACGTTCAATTTTTTTATTATTCATCTATTTTTTCGTCACAGTTAAATAAGAAATCAATTGTTCCTTTGACAATCGTTTGGTGTTCTCATCGACGTTTTGAAGCTTTCGCTTAACATTGGGAGTGTTGAATCATATTTGGGAATATGGCTGCTGCTGCTGCTGCTGCGTTACTCGACGAGCTTATGGGAAGAAATAGAAATGTTCTTCCTAACGAAAAACCTAAAGAACTTAATTGGGAGGATCCTGAGGTACGATTATGTTTATAAGAATAATCCTTCACTTTCTTGTGAATAACGAAAACACATCGATTAATTAACGATCGATGCCACCTTCGATATCATTTTAATTATCAATCGATTTGTTATTTAATCATGGTTAAACAGTTAATCTTTAATTTTACAGTTTTGCAAATTATATTTGGTTAAATTCTGTCCTCACGATTTATTCGTTAACACTCGAGCTGATCTCGGAGCTTGTTCTCGAGTTCACGATGATGAAGCAAGAGACCTTTTTGAGAAAGCGCCATATTCCTATCGTAAACAACAATATGAAGATGAATTTATTAGATTTTGTCAAAGTATGCTCAACGAGGTTGAAAGGAAAATTGTAAAAGGCAAACAACGTCTTGCTCTTATCGGAAGAACTGAAGCAGTATGTATTACATTTGTTATTTAACTCTCTAGCTAGTAAGCGCCACTAAAGTGGCTATTCTTTAATATATTCACTATCAGTGTGGCAAATCTTATAGGCCAATTATAAGAAGCGTTGAATGTGGCACACAACTCCGCATGTTGAATCATAGTGTAAGGAGTTGAGATCAATAATAATCCAATTTTTAATTATTTTATATTTTTCTTTAGCCTACTCTGACTCCTGCACAAACTCAAAGAAACGAAGAACAAATAGCTCTGCTAACGGAGAAGATTAACAAATTAGTCGAAGAAGCTGAACAAAGTGGAATTCAAGGAAACGTTGAACAAGCTCAAGGCCTAATGAGACTTTGTGACCAATTAAAAGAAGAACGAGAAGCCCTTAGAAAGTCCAATGACAATAGTCATTATAATCAAGTATGTTTTATATAAGACTTTTATTTTTTTTCTAAATGTTCTTTTAAGCATTTTATTTAATATTTTATTTTTTTTTTATTTAAGACCGCTGAATTAGCTGCAGCTCAAGAAAAACAGATGGAAGTTTGCGACGTGTGCGGTGCTTTTCTCATTGTCGGAGATGCTCAACAACGAATCGATGATCACTTGATGGGTAAACAACATGTTGGTTATGCCAGATTAAAAACTGCTCTTCAAGAAATTATGGTATAAGCAAATTAAGAATTTTTCTAACTATTAATGTCTATGATCATTAATTATTTTTTATTAAAGCAAATAATTTGTTTTTGTGTAGTGTAAACGTGAAAAAGCACGAGACGAAAAAGAGCAGAAAAGAGAAGAAGAAAGAAAGCAGAGAGCACGTGCTAATGAAGAACTCGACAGACGAAGGAGAGAAAGTGACAGAGATAGAGATAGAGAAAGAGATAAACGTCGTAGACGTATAGATGATGACAAGGGTAGACATGACTCTGGGGGTCATAGGTGAATATTCAAATAATCATAGTACCCTATAATTGTGCTGATAATTATCTTAAACTTAAACTTAATCATAAAAAAAATAGGAAATAGAATTATTTATATTTATTATAAAATAAATGTTTTAAAATGAATTTTTTTATTCAATTCACTGTTACAATTACCGGCACAATTTATTTGAAAATTCAAATGTTAAATTTACAATTTAAATTTGGCTTACAGAAATTCTGGTCATAGAAGTAGGAGCAGGTCTAGAGAGAAACATGATCGGCATCGCGATGACGATAATCATCGACGTCATGCTCGCGATAAAGGTATGATTAAAGTTTCAAAACTAGAGTAAAAGATAATTCATCCGTATAATGTGTAGTAAATGTATCTAATTATTGTTTATAGGAAATCGGGATCATCGAAGCTCGAGTCACCATAATCGTCGTCGCCATCGATCTCGAAGTCGAAGTCACAAGTAACTACTCTTGATTGGTTAGTGAGTGAGAACTAAGCCAGGTATGCACTAAACAGTTAACGATATATTCGTCTCATTTACTGTACAGGTTCTTTACCAGGTGAGTTTCATTAGATGCACATAATATGTACATGATAATTATCTGTGATTTTGAAGAATCGCATACAGTCACAACGTACCAGTCTTTGATCCTGCCTATTAATTGGAGAAATGCTCTTACTAAATTTCATATGGACCTGATTGTACAGCATTTTATTTTCAATGTGACGAGCTCATTGTATGTAACATATAGCTTGAAAAAAAGCTGCATCGAGGTAATGTTGAGCGAGGAGTAGTAAAGTCGTTCACAAAATAAAGGTATATTTATCATGTAGTATTATAGATATTGTCTACAGAGCAAGATAGGAGAAGGTATACCTATGCTTGCTTTGATCGGTATAATGTCTTCATAGGTTAAATACAGTAAATTGTGTTATGTCAACGACTGCATAGCTTTTTTGTCGAAAAGAAATTAGTGAATTAGTGGAGGAAACAGTGCCTACTTCCGTAGACCTGCAACACGGCAGTGCCCTGTGTGACTGTGACTATACAAACCTAGCTTCTGCTACGCATTTCTGAGGTATTTATATCGGAATGATAATACCAAACATGTCCTTTTATTAGGAAAGTTAGACTTTTTTGAAATTGATGATGTTTATTTTTGGAGTGATACTTCAGTGCTAGTGCTTTAAAGGAAATGATAACAAACTCCTGCTATTACTTTCCTTACTTCCTAATTGCAGTTGATCGGAGCATTATCAACATGACTTTCAGCGTGATTTCTCAGCGAGTTTTTCGTTTAGGAATATATTAATGACATCCTATATGGAAACAAAAATTGGATAGATCAATTGTAGTATTTTCCAACTTCGAACTTTAACGTTCGAAATAATTTTTCTCTTATTTCTATAGCCGACGAGACAAAAATACCAAATAGATTCACAATTGTGTCATCGTTAATATTGTACCAGTGTTAACTGATTATTTAAAGATTATTTAATGAGGCATTTCTTACTATACTTCCCATTTTTCTACACAAGTGATGAGAAACGAGTATCATATACAATATTTTCTCTTCCCTTCTTGCACGTCTCACTTTATTTACTATTTTAGTTCTTTAATGGTTAGGGTTTGGGCTAAATTATTCTTTTTATAAATGGGTTAAATGAATTATTCTGTAGCATTGTCCTACGTCTATTTAAAGGATCACAACAGAGGCCATATGGATCATAAATTGAGCTGCTCCTAGGATTTCTCTCATTCATTCATTCATAGTCTCATATTATTCAGTTTGCCATGTCCTTCGTTTCAGCTTTTATAGAGAAGATACATATATTCTATATATGTCTTACATTTGTATAACTTGTTTAATGATATAAATGTTTCTTTATTGTTACATAATCTGCTTTTTTCAATATTTACTTACAGAAATATAAACATTTATTCTAATTAACTTTAACTTCAATATTATCATTTTGTATTGTAGTTAAAAAAACATTGGGTAATTTAATTAGAATGTATTTAATAAAATAGAAAGAAGCAAAATATTCGATTTTAAGTCTGAAACATAAAATAAAAATTATATTTTAATAAAATTAGTTTATTTTATTTGTTTGCTAATAAATTTTGTTGACGATTCTCGTAAATCATAACATGGTGGAATCACCAGTTCTTTTGATTTTAATGCTGCAATCAAAGTGATATTTTGAATTTAATTAATTGCTTATTTATGCATATATAATTGAAATATATTATTTCTGTTTAAGAATTTAACATAATGAGGTTAACAACAGCTACAATAAGGGAATTATGTTAATCGTTTGAAAGTAATTGCGATTCGTACGAAAATAATATTTGTTAAATCTTAATTTCTAAAACATTGATTCTCTATTTTCAGAATGAAGACAGGACAATGGAAATTAACCAGTTTGAAGGATCCACGTGCACTCCGCTTTATGTATTATTAAGGTAAAGATTTTGCATAATCTTCACATTGAAAATTTATAAATTTTATACATATAT